CTCCTGGGCTTGTCGTCGTCGTTGTCAGTGTTGGGAGAGACCTCTAGGATTTGGAGCAAGGTTCCCTGCATCTTCACACCGCATCCCAGAAGATGATGCAAGAAGGGAATGAGTTACTTTTGCCTGTCCCCCCACTTGAGATATGTGTGATAAGAAAGTCATCTGAAAACTTAAGAGACCTTCAACCTTGCCAGTTATGTGACTGAAGACTTTTCTCTGTCCTGCCCCATCCTTCAGCCATTTCCAAATCATTACTCAGAGGCTTATATTAATTATAAATATTTGGCTGATGACTCAGGCTTATTATTAGCTGCCTTTTACATTTAAGTTAACCTATTTCTATTAATCTATGCATTGCCACATGGCCCCTGGCTTACCAGTTCTCTGACATTTTTTTCCTTGGGTGACTGGATCACATCTGGCTCAACTCGACCCTTCATCTCCGACTTCAGTTTGAATGTACTGCCTAACCTTATTCTGCCTGGATATTGACCAAAACAGCTTTATTTATCAACCAATGAGAGCAACACATATTCACAATGTACAGAAAGACATCCCACAGCACAGTTATCCTTCTGACTGCTCTGTTCTGTTCTGTACTACAGAGCCCCTGAGACATGGTACCTGCTACCACAGGCTGATATGGTATTTCTGCCTCAGCTTCCTGGGTAAAGGTGATCACAGGTCTACCCCTCCAAGCCTTCATGGTAGAAGCATCTATCATGCATAGAATATGTCTCAGGGGTGCACATGAAGGCACTTTTTTCCCTGTCTCTGGAAATGAGGAAGTGAGGAGCAGGCATAAATGAAATCAGATCAGGGAGCCAGTAGAGTGTAGTCAGTACTAGCCACAAACTAGTATTAAAATTAGGGATGGAAGGAGACAGAGATGGTATAAAGGACTTACAGAGGAAGTGTAGGTAAAATGGGTGACACTTGAGAATGTTGGTTAGTCCTTGGAGTCTCAAGAACCCCCTACACTTCCACACCCCACCCTTCCCTGCCATCAGTGTAAGGCCAAGTACATGCCCAGAGTTTCTTGGAGAACACTCCAATGAACAACCTTGTTTTAAGTTTTAAGGAGGTTCCTTAGTCTTTGCAAAGACAAACTGTGTGTTAAGGAGTCCTAAAAGGACCCAAGACAAAGACACAACTTGTCACAGAATGTTATACAACAGTGAGCAATGGAAACAACCATCACCCAGCAAATGCACTTTGGCCTCCCCCATGCTCAATGTTCTGTCTGCCATTCAGGATGACAGGGGAGGCAGCCTGAGTCCTGCAGAGTCTAAGTTCTGTGTCTCTGGTGAGTTAGAAATGTCTGCCATACCAGCCCTTTCCAATAATTAAAAGAAGTAACACGGTGATTAGATTTCACATGCATGCAGCATGGTCTGGAAATCCAGAATGTAAAACAGTAAACAGGATTCACTTCCCTAAGAAACTCAGTCTCATGCACTTCTCCAGAACACACACACAAGACATAGTGGACACACATGAATTTTGCTGGGCATGGAAGTAGGGAAGATGGTCAATTCTTACTCTGGAGCAGAATGGTCTTTCTCTCTTTATAAGAATAGAGAACGAGGCACAGTGGAGTGTAAACAAACACAGGACTACCTGCCAATAGGCTCATAGCAATGATGTCCTCAAGGCAGTAGGAGGCCAAGCAAGAGAGGCTGTAAGCACTCCAGCACTGTGATCTCAGAGCATCTTCTGTGAAGAGTAGGTCTCAGCAGCAGCGAGGCTCATGGGGTTAGGAATGGGCTGGGCAGGAAAGGGGAGGGTCAGTCCCCCAAAAAGGAGTGAGCAGCCACAGGTTGAGTCTCTGAGTCTGAGGCAAGAACAATCCTCAGCTTACAGTAGGAGCTTTGAGTCTCATGTGCCAGACTGTGGAAACTAGAATGTGTATAGTCTCAGTTGGACCCTGATTGGCTGGGTGTGTGAAGAGGGGGGCCAATTAGAAGACAGCCTGCTGGACCCAGAGAAGAAACAGCACATCCTACCAGGGCCAGGGAGGGTCATGAGAGCTCCATTCCTCCCTATCCCTGGGTGTTGTAGAGGAAGCTGGAAAGGAGGAAGGAAATACACACACACACACACACACACACACACACACACACACACACACACACCCCTGAAGATGTGGTTTTTGCCTGGATTCCTAGGAGCTCTTGGGGGTCTGAGCTCCTGTTGCTGGTGTGATGGTCCTGCTATCCACTGCAGTTCCCCATCACAGGAGCCCCTGATGACTAGAACACCTGAGGAAGGAGACTCTGCCTGATGAAGGAGAGAACTGACTCAGATTATCCTCTGACCTCCTCCTCATGTACCCTGTGGTACACTTGATTACACACAGAGACACACACATAAACGCACTGTCAGTTTTCAAAACTGTAGATTTTTTTGAGGATTGACATCACTTCCTGTTAGTTTATACAAAGACACACACACACACACACAGCTGGCCAACTAAGACTGGAATGCTAATAGAATGAAAATCGCTGACATCAAGAATGGACGGGAAGACCTCTCATCTACTTTAAAAATAATTTTTTAGGCGGTGGTGGCACATGCCTTTAATCCCAGCACTCAGGAGGCAGAGCCAGGCGAATCTCTGTGAGTTTGAGGCCAGCCTGGTCTACAGAGTGAGATCCAGGACAGGCACCAAAAACTACACAGAGAAACCCTGTCTCAAAAATAATAATAATAATAATAATAATAATAATTTTTTAGTCACAAGGAGGAAGCACTCATGGTAGTTATTACAAATTTTGATCTTGACCAAGCTGTCCTATAACTTTTATCAAACTTTCTCAAAAAAAAAAAACAAAAACAAAAAACCTGTTTTCATGACATTAGCCAGAATAATGGAATAATCCAACAAAAACCATGAATTACTCTTCAATCTTCTTATCCCTACCACAAACCTATTTGGACCCTGATACCCCAAATCCATGAATATGACTATCCAGCTCCATACGGCCAACACCGTGGCCTGAGCCTTGTGTGGGTGGCTCTGCCCTTGTATGACCAAAACCCGGCTGGCGTTTAAGTTCTGCTGAGCTTTCCACCACTTGCTGGCAGTGCAGAAATGCCGTCGGTGTCTGTCACAAAGCCTGTGAACACAGACGCCCACCATGAGTGCATTAGTTTGCTCTCGATAGCTTCTGATACCTTCACCACAGTCAACCTGGGGAGGGACAGAAGGACTTAATGTGGGCCTACCGTTGTAGTCCACCACGAAGGGAAGTCAGACGGGAGCCTGGAGGCAGGAGCTGATGCAGAGACCATGGAGGAACGCTGCTTCGTGGCTTGCTCCTCGTGGCTTCTTTGGCCTGCTTTCTTATACACCCATAACCACCTGCTCAGAGTGGGCTGGACTGCCCACGTCAATCATTCTACAATCAATCCACAAATGCTCACAGGCTTGCACACAGGCTAATCTGACGGGGGCAGTTTTTTTTCAATCAGGGTTCCCTGTCCCCAGATGACCCCAGTTTGTGTAAAGTTGACAAAGAATAATAGTAACCAGCAACACGATGAGGTGATGGACTGCAGGAATCCCATCAGCCACACACAGGGTCCCTTTCTAGCTCTGCCACACACAGGGAGTTTGAGCAAGTCGGTTAGAGGCCTCCCATAGCATCCTCTCCCTCACCTCCGAGGAACCTAGATTCTGATGGGATTCTCCCAGATCACCAACAGCAGGCAACGGAAATCCGGTTCTTTCCTGCTACAGTAAAGCCTTCGGTCAGCTGTCAGGGTCCTCTCCTGCTGGTCTCCCCTCCCCTCCCCCCCCACCCGCCTCTCCTCTTCTCTCCCTGTCTTCCTTTACCTTCCTGTTGCTGTGATAAAACACTGACCAAAAACGACTCCGGGGAGGAGAGGTTTTGATTTTATTTATTTATTTATTTATTTTTAGCTTGCAGGTTATAGTCTATCTTTGAGGAAAGCCGAGGTAGGAACTGAAGCAGGCATCATGGGGAAGGGGATCTGTGGTTGGTTTGTGACTCACTTGGTCTTCTTTCTTATACAGCTCAGTCCTTCCTGCCCAGGGGTAGCTGGGACTTGCCACATCAACCAGTACTGAAGAAAATGCCCCCCACAGATTTGCCTACAGGCAATGTGATGGAGACAGCTCCTCAGTTGAGAGTCTGTCTTCCCAGATAGGCTAGGGTTTGTGTGTGTGTGTGTGGGGGGGAGGGGGGTAGGAGGAGACACTAACCAATGCACCAACACTCTTTCCTCTCCTCTCCTCCCTCCCTCCCTCCTTCTCTCTCTCCTCTCCCTCTCCCTCCTCTCTTCTCTCCCCTCTCCTCCCCCCTCCTTTCTCCTCCTTCCCTCCCCTCCACAATACTCTAAATTAGGTTGGACTCTCTCATGTTCGTACTTTACCACTCACATTTGATCCTCAAATCCTTGCTATAGATGGTCATAGGAACTAAGGTCATTATTTCCTTGTGTATGCTTATATGTATGCTTATACTAGCATATACCCAAAGAGTTGAGAAGAAATCTTAAGTGTTCACCAAGTTCAGAAACGTCACCAAGTTCAGAAATGACTGAGGTACGTGCCAGCCACCATGCAAACATTCCAACAAGGAGCAAACATTATTTAGTTAAATGGGTATTTATTCAGGCACTACTGTTAATACCATTTAAATCTGAAATGCCCCCACAAGCTCCTGTTTGAGGCACTTGTCCCCAGGTGGTGGCAAGTGTTTGGGGGAGGCTATGGAACCTGCCTGGCTGTGGACAGACGCTGGCAGAAGTAGACCACTAGAAATGGGCTGCTGATGGTTACACGTGGCTCTTCATTCCCATCATGCTCTCTGCTTCCTGGTCAGCGCTGGTGGGAACTATCTCCATCACATGCTCCTTCAGTGGTGAACCGAGCTGCCCGACCATGAAGGAGTGAACCCCCTGAGATCATGAGGCCGAACACAGTGCTCCCTTCAGCTGTTTGCCAGGTCTCTTGGCCACAGGAGTAAGCACGCAACCAGCAAGGGTGTGGCGTTTATTGTATTAAATGCACATATGGAAATACGTCCACACTTACATGGCGCTGGTCTATATCACAGCAGGTTACATCTTCATTCTTACTAAATATTCAAAAGTGTTCTGTCCAGTTGAAAGTTACTGATAAAAGATGAACTAAGGGCCAGTACATCATATAAAGAGGTCAAAGAAATCACAGGGAGTGTGCACCTGTGAACACACTGACGTTATTAGTGGGAAAGCTGACTAAAAGAAACATCCTCATTGACCTGTCCAGGCAGCGGACTCAGAGGTGGAGACCTCCTGTGTCACTTCCCAAATATTCGAGAGTCATCTTCTACATCTTGTAACTCTGCATATTCTTTAATGAGATCCCACAGAACCCTAAAAATACACAAGAAATAAATGCAATGGATGAGAAAACATATACAATAGGGAGAAAAGAACAAGTCCCAGTAAATATCTATTTTGGGTCACATGTACGCAAACAGATGAGATTGCAATCAACAACTTTTGTTTTTAGTAATTTTGTTATCAGAGCTTCGGCCTTGAATGCCACAGGGCTTCTCTGGCATTTGAGGGGTACCCCCAAAGCATCTTCTGGGCTGACAATACTGTGCAGACGACATACCTTCTAGCCAGAATGGAGCAGCAGCTTCCCAGTGGGGTCTAAGCAACTGTTACTGTCCTCCTGTCCTTTGCTGACTTCCAGCATGACATAAGGAGCTGAGAGAGTGAGCCAGGCTCCCTCATTCTTGCACATTCCTCGACCACATGAGGAGGGGAAGTGTGGTCTCTGTTATCTGCCCTTCCCTACAACTACGGGTGATGTTGGGACCTAATGCTAGCCAGTGAGATATGGGAGGAAGTCCCTGAAGAAGGCCATCTTTCTGCGTCAGGCAAAATAAATAAATAATGAATAAATAAGCCTCAGAGAGAAAAAGGTTGGCTCTTTGTCCTTTGCCTTGGAACACAAACCCGATGCCTAAAAACTGCTACAGAGGAAAATCCCCTATGCACAGAGAGTTAGATAAGCAGGATGACACTGTTGGGCCCAGGCCACAGTTCACAGGTGGAGGTCAGAGAACAGCCTATAGGGGTCAGTTCTCTTCTGCCATGTAGAGGTCAAGGATCAAACTCCGGTTCATCAGCCTTAGGGATAAGTACATTTCCCTGCTGAGCCATCTCACTGGTCCCTGTTGACTTTTTAAATCGAAAGTTTAGATGTGCGTAGGATTTTTTTTTTTAATTTTCATTGCCATTAAAAGCCCTGCAATTTGAGCAAAGAATGCCACCCATGCCACATGCTACCCTCACATTCCTGGTCTCTACCCCTGATAATTTACCACAATCCTTTAGCTTCTAATGAAACTACTTGTGTATTGGTAGAGAAAATGTACATGTTGGTGTCTAGATCTTCAGTGATCACAGGGCAAGACAATGCATGAGTATGAAAGTCGGCCCTCATGAGGACTGTCAAAGCGCCATCTACTTCATGGTGAGTGAGTGATATTACTCCAGCTCTTTCTATCACAGTATCTGGCATAGGGCTGAGGAGATCTCTCAGTGGGCAAAGCACATGCCATGCACATGTAAGGACCAGAGTTCATATCCCCAGAACCCATGTAAATGCCAGGTAGGCATGGAGGCAACCTGCCTGTAATCCTAACACTCAGAAGGTGGAGACAGGATCCTTGGGGCGAGCTACCCAACCCAAGGAGACTGATGTATCAGTGGGCTCTGGGTTCAAATGAGAGTCTGCCTCCATGAATGAGGGAGAGTAAAAGAATCCCCCATGTTAACCTGGGGCCTCCACGGCCACACCTGCACACATGTGTAAAAGCACATTCATGCACACACACACACACCACACACATGTGTATTTTAGAACATGGTATCGATGCTTACTGCCTCTCTGTGTCGCCGATCTTACTCTTTTTTATGAGCTGCTTGACCTGGTTTTCAATAACCTGCGGAGATTTGAAAATCCTTCAGTCATCGAGAACACCAACATCTTGGTCATGTATAATGACAATGAGATGGAATCAGAACTGGTGACTCTGTCGGGCATGGTATGCTAACCACACCACGCACAGCTCAGAGGCACACACATCCGAGGCACACACAGCCCCGGTGTGCAGAACTGTGATGTAAACAGCAATTGTCCATGTGTGTTTGGAGCATTCCACTCCTTGTTGCTGGTTGTTTTATTCATTATTCTGAGTGGCAAGGTGTGTGGCTAAGTTAAAGGAGCAGTTAAGACTGGAGCACTCCATCATCATGATGTGTGTTTTCATGAATGCACTGAACATGAGAGTCCGGCTCTAGGCTGAGGTCTGGACAGCCAGCCGGACACAGCTAACATTGCAGAAAGCTATTCCACGAGAAGAAGTTATGCGTTTTCGTGTGACCTATGACACAGGCAAACAGACAGGTTGAGAGATGTTTCTATAGACTGACACTAGTTTGTATATTAAAAAGACATCTTACTTTTATTTTCTTTCTTAAGATTTTGTTTGTTGTTTCCAACTTCAAAGCTTCATTCTAAAAGAAAATGATTTGAAAAGCAATTTAAAAAAACATTAAGACTTTTTCTCTATTTGTGAAATTTAAAAAAGCATTATGAGACTGGTGTGGTTATGAATTTAAGCGTGCTCAGAGCCGCATCATTTTAAAATAGACATTTACTCTGGTCAGGAAAGCAGGTAGGCTAACTGCAGATCTTCACCTCTCCCTCTGCTCCTCCAAATCCAATCCCCCAGTCTCATCCTCATCTCTGTAACAGACCACTTGCTGCAGCCTCCACACAAAAGACCTCCCCCTTGCAAGATCAAAGCACACCATACGGCCAAGTGTAGACCCTTCAAAACACCTGGCAATCACGCCCGTGACCAAATCATCCCATTATGCAGCCCTGCTGGGTAAAGCAAGCTCAGACTCTCTGATCTTGAACAACAGAGAGCCTCTATGAGCTCCCATGCTCATCCTGTCATCCAGCCCCCAGCTCCAGCAGGCACTCCCTGGGAAACCACCAGCCAGGCCTGTCAGAGAAGCAAGTGGACCAGGGAAGCAGGTAGGTGAGCTTCAGATCTTCACTCCTCCTTCTCTCCTCCACAGCTAATCCCCCAGTCTCATCCCCAGCTGTATAGCAGGCTACCTGTCATGGCTTCTCTTCGCTCTCCACCTCCATTCCCAGATCCTGGTGGAATACTTTGCTTTCCTACCTTCCTGTGGACTGTTGGGGAATACTATTTTAAGGTGTGTTACTTTTGTTCATGTTGCATTTGTTTAACTCTGTGAAGCTGTGTTACTGTGCCTGTCTGAAATACCTGATGATCTAAAAAGAAAGAACTGGCCAATAGCAAGGCAGGAGAAAGGATAGGTGGGGCTGGCAGGCAGAGAGTATATACAGAGGAGAAAACTGGGAAAAGTGATCTAGTGGCCAGAGAAAGGGAGAAAATCAGGGGCCAGCCACCCAGCTACACAACCAGCAAGTCATGGAGTAAGAGTAAGATTATGGAAGGAAGGGAACGGGAAAAGCCCAACAGCAAAAGGTAGACGAGCTAAGTTAAGCCAAGAAAAGTTGGCTAGAAACCAAGCCAAGCCAAGGCCATTCATAAGAATAGGCCTCCATGAGTGATTTATTTGGGAGCTAGGTGGCGAGCCCCCTAATAAAGGGTAAAAACAACCAGCAACAGTGGACCCCCTCAGCCCCATTCTTCCTAGTCCATATCCATTCCTAAGTGTCAGCTCCCAGAACCTAGAAAACACAGTTGAGTAGCCACACCTATAGGATCCCAGGAGAGTTTCCTACCAGAGAACACACAACCACCACATTCTCCTAAGAACCAGAGAGGGAAACAGAAACCAAGGAACAAAACACCCACCCAACAAAGACAAGACCAGATACCAGCACCTAGAATTATAATCTTCCCAAATCCAGATGCCTAGAGGCCAACATAAAAACACAATAAAAACAAGCAGCCCAATATGTCTCCACCAGAGCCCAACAACCCAACCACAGCAGGCCCTGAGTACGGCAACATAGCTGAAGCACGAGACAAAAGACCTTCAAACAGCCTTTATGCATCTGATGGAGGTCCTTAAGAAGGAAATGAATAAACCCCTTCAAGAAATCAATGAAAACACAATGGAAGTAAATGAATAAAACAGTTTGAGACCTGAAAGTAGAAATAAAATCAATAAAGAAAACCCCAACTGAGGGAAATCTGGAAATGAAAGACCATTGCCCAATTCATTATATGAGACTACAATTACATTGATACCCCAAACACACAAAGACCCAACAGAGAAAATTAGAGACCCATTACCTTTATGAATATTGATGCAAAAAATCTCAATAAAATATTTGAAAACAATACAAGAACACATTGAAAAAGATTATCTACCATGATCAAGAAGGCTTTTTCCCAGAGATACAGGGATGATTCAATATATGAAAATCAATAAATCTAATCCACTATATGAACAAACTGAAAGAAAAATACCACATAATCATCTCATTAGGTATGTTTGACAAAATCCTTCATGATACAAGCTTCTGGAGAGATTAGAGGTAGAAGGGACATACCTAAACATAATAAAGGCAGTTTACAGCAAGCTCATAGCCAATATTAACTCAATTGAAGAGAAACTCAAGTAAATTCCATTAAAATCAGGAACAAGACAAGGTTTCCACTCTCTATGTACCCATTCAATGTAGTACTCGAAGTCTTAGCTAGAGCAATAAGACAACTGAAGGAAATAAAGGAGATACAAATGGAAAGGAAAAAGTCAACGCATCTTTATTTGAAGATGATGTGACAGTTTATACAAGTGACCCTGAAAATTCTACCTGGGAACTCCTACAGCTGATAAACACTTCCAGTAGATTAGCTGGTTACAAAATTAACTGACAAAAAGATCAGTAACCTTCCTATATATAAATGACAAACAGACTGAGAAAGAAATCAGGGAAATAATACCTGTTACAATAGCCTCAAATAATATAAAATATCTTGAGATAAGTCTAGCTGAGCAAGTGAAAGACCTGTATGCTAAAACTTTAAGACTTTGAAGGAAATGCCAGAAGATGGAAAGATCTCCCATGCTCACAGGTTAGTAGGATTAACATAGTAAAAATGGCCATTCTACCAAAAGCAATCTACAGATTCAATGCAATCCCCATCAAAATTCCAACACAATTCTTCACAGATCTTGAAAGGAAAATTCTCTGCTTTATGTGGAAACACAAAAAACTAGGACAACTAAAAAAATTCCTAAACAATAAAAGACTGCTAGAGGTCTAATTGTTTCTGATCTCATGTTATAAGACAATGCTACAGTAAAAAAGACAGTATGGCTTTGGCATAAAAACAGACATATTTATCAAGGGTATTTAATTGAAGACCCAGATATAAATCAACACATCTGGACACCTGATTTTTTTTTTTTATAAAAACACACAGAAATACACACTGGAAAAAAGACAGCATCTTCAACAAATGGTACTGGTCCAACCAGATGGCTGCACGTAGAAGAATGCAAATAGATTCATACTTACCACCCTGCACAAAACTCAATTCCAAGTGGATCACAGACCTCAACATAAAACCAAATACACTAAACCTGATAGAAGAGAAAGTGAGGAATAGCCTTGAACTCATTAGTACAGGAAAAGATTTTCTAAACTGAACACTGACAGCATAGACACTAAGATCAACATGGGATCATATGAAACAAAAAAAGCTTCTGCACAGCAAAGGACACCATCAATTGGATGAAGTGGCAGCCTCCAGAATGGGAAAAGATTTTTACCAACTATATATCTGACAGGGGCCTAGTATCCAAAATATATAAAGAACTCAAAAAACTAGATATCAAGAAAAAAAATGACCCATTAAAAATGGGGTAGCAATCTAAACAGAGAATCCTCAAAAGAGGAAACTCAAATGGCTGAGAAACACTTAAAGAAATGTTCAACATCTTTAGCCATCAGGGTAATAAAAATCAAAACTACTTTGAGATTTCATCTTATACCTGTCAGAATGGCTAAGATCAAAAACACAAGTGACAGCTTATGCTGGTGAGGATGTGGAGTCGGAGGAACCCTCATCCATTGCCAGTGAGAGTGCAAACTTGTACAGACACTATGAAATCAATATGGCAGTTCCTCAGGAAGTTGGGAATACGTCTACCTCAAGATCCAACTATACCACTCTTGAGCATCTACCCAAAGGACATTTCATCCTACCACAGAGACACTTGCTCAATCATGTTCATTGCTGTTCTATTCATCATTACCAGAAACTGGAAATGACCTAGGTGTCCCTCAACAGAAAAAATGAACAAAGAAAATGTGGTACATTTACACAATGGGATATTACTCAGCCATTAAAACATATTAAATCACGAGATTTTCAGGTAAATGGATGGAACTAGATAAAAGATCATTTTGAGTGAGGTAACCCAGACCCAGAACGACAAATAGGCTATGTATTCACTTCTGTGTAGATATTAGCTGTTAAGTCAATGAGAACCAAGTGACAAGCCAGAGACTCACAGAGATTAGGTATAGAGTGCGAGACTAGGGGGCTGGATAGATCTCCTTGGGAAAGGGAAATAGAATAGACAGTTATAGGTGGATGTTTGGGGGTAGAACAGGAGATTAAGTGGAGAGGGGGATGGAAGAGAGGGACAAGGGAGGGGATTAAAGGAAGAGAGAGCTAAAATTAAGGGCCATGTGAGGGTTAGTATGGAAACCTAACACAGTAGAAGCTTCCTAAAATATATACCTATATGAAAGAGATCTAAATGGAATTGGCAAATAGTGGGGGAGACAAAGCCCCAACTGGACACCAAATGAAGCTTTCAGTACCGGAAACGAGTTACATCTAATTAAGTTGTTGGCCAAAGGAGTCCCATGGGAGTCCCCAAGCAACTGAAGCTGTTGACAAGACGAGAAGTTGCTCTCCACAACCTGATTGTAAGGCCCTATTGCTGAAGACAACACCTACACAACTTGTTAAACCCAGAGAAGTTAAGCGGGTGCCTACACACAGCCTTCACATCTATGTGCTAGCATCTTTGGTACAGGAAGGTACTCTGCATGCTACCAAAGTCAACCACAAACCCTTTGATCTGCAATGGTGTCCTGCCTGCTATTTATGCTAGGGCAGTGGTGGCACCACATTTGTAGGAGTAACCAACCACCTGATTTAAGGCCCACTCTATATCTGACACTACTTGAGTGACCAAGAACCTGAGACTAGATAGACCAGGAACCTAGGGTAATACCAAATACCACTGTTCTAAAAAAAAAAAAAGTGTAGCAATAAAATGACTCCCAATGACATTCTGCTATACTCATAGATCAGTGCCTTGCTTGGCCATCATCAGAGAAACTTCCTCTTGTAGCAGATGGGAACAAATACAGAGAATCACAGCCAGACATGCAGAGAGTGAGAGACCTTGGAACACTCAGCCCCTAAATGAGATGTCCCCATCAAATCCCTCCCTTCAGAGCTCAGAGAACCCTATGTAAAAGGAGGTAGAAAAAAATCTAAGAGCAAAGGGCAGTGGAGGACACCGAGAAGACAAACCCCTCTGAGTCAAGATGATCAACACACATATGAAGTCAGAGATGGAGGCAGCATGTGCAGGGCCTTCACAGGTCTGCACCAGTGAGGATTCTAGAGATGATGATGAACTGGACACGTGCCACCCATCCCTATCCCAGAAGCTATCTCAATTGATAACCATTCGCAAATGAAAATTTAGTTTCCTCCAAGGAAGTCTCACTGGGCACACAGACTACTCTTAAGAGTAGGCTGCATGCCCAGCAGTAGACAGACAACAGAAAACAGCATCATTGGAGGTTCCTTGTCTCAATACTGTGTCAGGGCTCTTTTATTTTTTTTTAATTCTTGTTTTTTATTTTTATTTTATTTATATAATTTTTTCTTTATGGAATATTCCTTTACACTGTGTGAATATATGTCACTGTGTTTGATTTAATAAAGAGGCTGACTGTCCAATAGATGGACAGGATAAGGTTGGAGGAGAGCCAGACAGAGAACGCTGGGAAGGAGAAGGGCGGAGTCAAAGGATTATCTTGCAGATGTAGAGAGAAACAAGATGTGTAAATGTAATGGTCTTATTAAATAAAAAACACAGAGCCAAATGCAGAGTAAAAAGCCCAAGAGGTCAGAGCAGTGGCTAAGAGCTGAGACTAAAACCCTTTCTTACCCTTCACTGCCGCTGCTGTCCTTCCCCTCAGAAAGAGACCTACTTCCTGTGTGTCTGTCTTTTTATTGACTTTCTGTTCTGCCTTCTTATTGGTTGTAAACCCAACCACATGACCTCCTCGTCACTGCCTGTCTATACAGACCTCTAGGTCTCTATGGTTGATATTGAGATTAAAGGCGTGTGTCTCCATGCTGGCTGTATCCTTGAACACACAGAGATCTGCCTGTCATGTGATTGGGATTAAAGATGTACACCACCACTGCCTGGCTTCTGCTATGGCTTGCTATTAGCTCTGACCCCCAGGCTACTTTTTTTATTAACACAAATAAAATCACTTTTCAGCACAAATAAAATATCACCATAAAGGTGGGCATGCCATACTGAGAAAAGCCACATGGCAAAGCACAGATCAGAAATATAGGTTAATTTAAAATGTAAGAGTTAGCTAGTAACAAGCCTGAGCTATTGGCCAGGCATTTATAATTAATATTAAGCCTCTATGTGGTTCTTGGAAATTCTACCTACATTTCTTCTCTCTTTTCCCCCACAGATCCCTTTTCTACACATTATGGCTTCCAGATTAGTGTTTTTATGGTGTTCCTGAGTGTGTGAATGAGTAGGTCTCTTTATCTTGTGCCTTCTCTTGGACTGTTTTGCTTCTGTTTGTTTTGTCCAATCCTGATGTGTCAGTTTTTGCTTTATCTTATCGTACTTTATTTTACTATTATCCCATAGAAGTCTGTTTGTTTTCTAGTGAGAAAGTAGGTGTATCCAGATAGGAGGGGATCTGGGGAGGAACTGGAAGAAGTAGAGGGAGGGTAAAACATAATCAGGACATATTATATTACTATTACTATTACTATTGTTATTATTATTATTTGGTTTTTCGAGACAGGGTTTCTCTGTGCAGTTTTGGAACCTGTCCTGAATCTTGCTCTGTAGACCAGGCTGGTCTCAAACTCACAGAGATCCACCTGGCTCTGCCTCCCAAGTGCTGAGATTAAAGGTATGCGCCACCACCGCCTGGCTATTTTTTAAAAATATATTTTAAAAGAAAAGAAAACAATAAAATAGACATTTAAACCATTAAATAAGAGACACTATAGTGGGAAAGAACCTGTGAGTTAAACCCTGTAGATACTGAGCCCACTAGAACTCCTCAGTTATCTGTTACTAGAAACAAGGTGAAATATAAATGCAGAAGTCAGGAATGGGAGCATAACCCAGTACTTGGGAGGTGGAAGCAGGAAGATTAGGAGTTCAAGGTTGCCCTTAGCTTTGTGGTCACATGGGTTACACAGAACCTGTCTCAAAACAACCAAAGAATACAAATATATTTCACTTCGTGCACTTTGATTTATCCTACTTCACAAACTTTGTTTCTTTTTCCTAGGAATTGAAGGTTTGTGACAAGCCTGTGTCAAGCATGTCCAGCAGTCCTAATGAGCCTCAGCATGTCATAGCAAGGGTTAATTTTAGATTTGGGTACATTGTGTTTACAACAGCACGCTGTTAAGCATGTGATTGTCTGCCATAGAGTGTAACCATAACTTTACATGCACTGAGAAACTGAATAATTCTTATAACACACCTAATTGTGGTATCTGCTTTACAGTGATGTCTAGAAACTAGCCCACAGCATCACCAGGGTATGCTTGCATCCATAAGTAACACACACAACAGCAGCAAGAACTGATGATTTAATGGGACTTGGTTCAAAGTGTGGGGGCTGAAAAGACGGCTCAGCGGTTAGGCACACTTCCTGCTCTTCTAGAGGCCCAGAGTTCCCAGAACTCATGCCAGGCAGCTTACAACCACCTGTAATTCCAGCTCCAGGGAACACAACACCTCTTCCAGCCTGCCTTTGTAAGCACTTGCACAACATACACGGCCTGTGTGCAAAGGGCACATAAGCTTGGTCCCAGGTAGCTATACTGAGCAGTTACAGGAACAGTGGGATAACACTGTGCTCTGTGGAGAATCAACTTACCCACCCATGGTTTAGACCAACATTACCTTCTATGCACTTTGTAATTCTTATTCTGCATTAAAAACAAAGAACACAGTATGGCTAAAATACATGGAACTAGCCATAAGGGGCCCTATCAGGTCACATTCCATACAAGCTCTGTGCAGTATCTATATGTTCCAAGCACTCATAGGGCTCCACAGACTCACATCACTTCAGTTCTTGTTTTAGTGAGGCCTTCAATGCTCTATGTAGCCACTACACCTTTTGAAGTGAAAGCATATTTTGGACTAAGCTTCATTAGATTTTACCCTGTTACAGAATCAAACTGTTCTGTGAGCATCTTTAAGAAAAACACATGTAAATATTTACACAGATAATTTGCATACCTCTACACTTTTAATCCCATTCTCAGTGATATCCAACACTTTGGAATGCACCAATGTTTCTTTGATGTGTTTTTCAAGCGCTTTCATTTCATCCCATTTTTCAAGGATTTCACATCTCCTCTTCTCAACTTTCTCAATCAGAGTGAGTTGGTCCTCATTGTTTATGTTTCTAGCAGAAGCTTCTGGAAATGGTTTTGAAAGCAAAGCAATTACTATTTTTAATATCTCAACACTTCTTAACAGTGATGTGTGTAACGATATCATACATTACATATAACTATAGTGTAACTATATATGTATATGATTATATTATATAACATAACTGTAGGGTAACAAGTATATTAATAAAAAATCAACTGTTCCAAAGAAATAAGATACTCCTTCTTGAAGTAGTCACATAATCTGTAAGTATCAATGGATGCCTAGTTTTGCAGAGTCTGTACTAGGTGGAAAGGGGCAGTTGTGAACGGTGACCAGAACCTCTTCCAGGTTATCTTTCTAATAGTGCATACTGGTAAGAAACTACATGAAAATGATGGGGTAGGGGGTGCCCTGGGGAGAGCCACGTGAACACCAAGCAGTTTGGATTGGGTTTAAGGAGAACCCGCCGAAGACCGAGGAACTTGAGGCTGAAGTGGAAACAGGAATTAGGTAGGTGCATGGTGAGGGAGGAAAGGGAGGTGGATTGAGATTCCCAGAGAAGACTCTAGAAGGGCAGCAGGCAGCTCTGGAAGGCACTCACCTGACTGTTCCTTAGCAGACTGCAGTAACAGTCTCTCTGCCTCCAGTTCATTTCTGAGTCTAAAAATTGATAGGAAAACAATCAGGAACAGCAACCCCTATTCGGGCTTCATTGCTTCTGTCCATTAAATAACACAAGGTGTGTGTGTGTGTGTGTGTGTGTGTGTGTGTGTGTGTGTGTGTGTGTGTGCTTGCACTGTGTGGACACACTTGTGTATGCCAGTGTGGATGTGCCTGTGACCCACACACCTGTGGAGGCCAGAGGTTGATGTCAGGTGTCTCCTCAACCACTCTCTACCTCATACTTTGAACCAGGGTCTCTCACTTGAACCAAAGTTAAGTATTCCGCTAGTCCAGCTAGCAAGCTTCACTGGAGGATCCTCTGTCTCAGCCTCCCACACGTGTTTACAGGACAACCACCACACCTAACTTGAATTTACATGGGTGCTAAGGATCTGAATAGTCTCCTTCCTGGGCTACTCCCCAGCCCCAACACCACAAGTCTTTTCAGTTAAGAAATAAATACTGATCTTCAAACTTTCCGACACAGAGGACACTCTGAAGATGGCTGTAAAGAGCCTGATCCAATCCAGTTAACAAGTAAGGGCATCTCCCCACTAAGATTACATATATCATTAAAATCCATTAATTATAAACAAATGGGAGGGCCAACACAATGGCTCAGTGGATAAAGGTACTTAACCATCCAAGTTCAATCCCTGGGCCCCACATGACGGAAAGAGAAAACTAACACTCATCCATTATCCTCTGACCTCCATACATACACTGCTGCATGTATATATATACACACACACACCTACACACAGAGACACAGACACACACACACACACACACACACACCTACACACAGAGACACAGACACAGACACACACAGAGAGACACAGACACACACACACACACACACCCACACACACCCCACACACAGAGACACACACACATAGACACATGCAGACACACACACACACATACCCCACAGACACACATAGACACACACAGAGACACAGACACAGACACACACACCCCACACACACAGAGAAAGAGAGGAGAAGAGGGAAGGGAAAAAAACACATAGGAGAGATAGCTAGGTAGCTCAGTGCTTGCCCTGCAGCCATGAGGACCTGGGTGTGATCCTTTGCATCCATGGGAAAAGTGGACACCTATAATCCCAGCACATGGAGGTGGAGACAAGAGGGTCCAGGGCCTCATTGGCTAACCAGTGTAACCAGTTGGTGAGCTCCAGGTTCAGTGAGAGAGACTGTCTCAGAGAATAAGGTAGAGAGTGATAGAAGACAGCCAATGTTTGACTCTCGCCTCCACAAAGGCATGTGCAATAATATGCATCCACACCGACGTGTAAACACACACCTATAGCACACGGGTACAAAACTAAATAAATCATCATGGTGCGACATGGTGGCATGCAAGCAGGCATGGTGCTGGAGAAGTAGCCGAGTATTCTACATCTTGACTGGCAGGCAAAAGGAAGTGGTCTGTCTCACTGGGCGTGGCTTGAACATAAATAAGACCTCAGAACCCACCTTCACAGTGACACACTTCCTGCAACGAGGCCACACCTCCTAATAGTGCCACTCCCTTTGGGGGCCATTTTCTTTCACACCACCATAGAGAGGTTACAGGGTTTTCTAAGTTACTAAAATCAGAAGACTCTCTCTGGCCCTGCCACCCTCGGTCCTATCAGTAAGTCCTCAAGGAGGATCCTTCAGAGACCTCTAAGAGGCTTGCCCTGAGGGTACTGCATTTGGTCCAGCACCACAGTCATACATGCCCTTGTTAGTGGAAGAGTCCAGGTTAACAGGACAATGTTGGTACAGGTAGCACGCCACACACAACAATGCAGACAAATGTGGGTGCTGCTCATCACAGAGTGTTCAGGTCACACTGAGTATCGGTGCAAACTTCCCCAGAATCATGCAGCTGGCGCCTTACTTGTCATTTTGCTCCAGGGCTTCCAGAGCAGCCTGCTCAAGCTTCCTCAGCCGCTCCTTGGCCTGGTCAATGTCTGTGCTGTGCACAGGGCTCTTCTCCAACCCCTTGACTTCAGCCAGGAGCCGCTGCCAGGAACAAGGCCCACGAAGGGTAAGGTGGTCAGGGAGAGTGTAAGGTGCTCTAGGCTGTTACCCATGTAGGGCCCGGGTATCCCGGAGTCAAGTGTGCGTTCCAACTCAGCGAGTGCATTGGGAGGGCTGGGGGCAGGAGGAGGTAATGGCAAAGTTCCAAGTAAAATCATTTTCACAATAATGAAATTTTATTTTCCTAAGGATTCTTAAGAAGGGCTTTCACGGTCTTCGTGGAGCTGGGTTGGGGACACACGAAGAATAAAGGTCTGGGCACATCATTACTATCTATTTCACATATTTGATAGACAATCTTAACCACCTATCTTTATGTGGACAGAAAGAAAGTGGGGCTTGTGTTGGTGACAAAGGCCTTTGCCTCATCAGGTGGCCATCTGGGCTTCAGGAATGGGAAGACAGAGAGATCCCTGGAAGCCCGCCAGTCCCCTCATTAGGGTGTTCCATTGAGATGTGGGGTTTTCCTTTTCTGCCCCACCTCAGAGTAAGGAACAGAGTACACCAGTGACTGCAGGCGCTACTCAGTCCTGATTTTACTTACAAATGCTGATTTCATTGATTGATTGATGATCGATTGATTATCAATTGATGATTTAATCTTGATATGTATGGGTGTTCTGCCTGCATGTATGTTGTTTCACTACATGCATGCCTAGTGCCTGTGGAGGTCAGAACGGGGTGTCAGATCCCCTGGAACTGGAGGTTCGAATGGTTGTAAATCACCATGTGGGTGCTGGGAACCAAACCTGAGTCCTCTGCAAGAGCAGCCAGTGCTCTTAACTGCCGAGCCACCTCTCCATGCCCTCAAAACTTATTGTCAAATAGCATGAAAAGTCTCAGAACACAGAATGCAATGCCCACACGTGGTGTTTTATTAAGATGTAATTTAGAACTGACTTTGTATGCTATAGTGTGTATATGTACATATGTGTGTGTGTGTGTGTGTGTGTGTGTGTGTGTGTGTGTGTGTGCGTGCGTATAAAGAAATTACATTTTCTACTTCACAAGATGGTTACTAATTCAAGGCTTCTTGGAGCTTTTGGAGCTGTCTGTCATTCCCATGGGACATTTCTTATTAGAACATGGCATGCTGACCCACTGACCCTGCAGGGACTAGAGGTGACAGTGATCTGTGTTGTGGCTCTGGGTATACCTGCTGTGACAATCCACCTATGCAGAGTAACAACAGGATGCTATTGATGCAATGCCATGTATGTTCCTAGTCATGTGTGGTGACTGTGGTTAGGGAATGACCCAGTGCTGTGGCAATGTTCAGGAAAGATCTTTACCCATAATACTTTAGGTTGAGAGAGAGATCACCCCTTTAAAAGAAAAGCACCAGCTATTTTGCGTGACAGAGGAACACATGGGGACTTCCAGGTTGAGAGCATCCTACTGCTCCTGAAATGTGAAGCCATGAACACACAGGCTCACTCTGTGCCCTTCCTGGTGGTGATTACCTTATACTGTGCTGTGGGCTGGGAGTCTAGAAGAACTGCCATGTAGAGTTCATATTCATCCTGTAGGGGGAAAAGAAAACAATGTCACCAGATGTAAGGGCTTGTGTATGGGGAGTGGGGTGCATGAGAATGTGTACATACATGTGCACAGGCACCCATGTGTGCAACAAGGGCCAGAATTGACATCAGGTGTCTTTTTCTATCACTGCCTACCTTACGCTTGCTCACAGATTGGCTAAACTTGCTGGCCAACAAGTCTGGGGATCCTCCTGTATCTGACTTGCCCCAGCAGTGGAGTTCCAGATGTATATCACAACACCCAGATTTTATGTGGGTGCTGGGGATTGAAACTCAGGTCCTGCAAACTCTTTGCCCACTGAGCTATTCCCCCAGCCCCAAGGATTATTTTTTACATGTGTAAATCCCATAGGTATGAAGGATGTCAGTTAAAATCACTTCAAACATGAAGCATATGAACTGATTCTGCAATGCGCTAAAACATACATACACACAAACTTATAAAATTGAAGGGTCACTGAACCCTATTTTGACTACCAGCTACTGACCAGCTCAAGACGCCGTCGCAAAACACCTTGACACAAATCCAACAGTAATTTCCCCTGCCATGTTTAGTTCTGAGACCTGCTGAAGGGGAGGCGGCAAGGACCCCAGGAGACAAGCAGCACACTGCCATCCTTACCCACCCCTTGTCATTACAGAAACCAGAGCAAGCACGGGCTTTGTGTTGGCTTAGATGAGAATCGCCCCCCCCCCCAGGCTCATGCATTTGAACACATGGGCCTGAGTTGGGGGTACTTTGAGGAAGGTTATAGAGCCTTTAGTTGGTGAAGCCTTGCTGGAGGGAGTGAGCCACTGAAGGCAGGCTTTAAGTATGTATGTATAGCCTGGCTCTACTTCCTGTTATTTCTCTCCACTTCCTGTGCATGGATGGAAATATGATCAGCCAGCTTCCGGCTTCTGCCGCCACATTTTCCCTGCCTGTTGCTGTGACTCCCCACCGTGATGGACTCTACCCCTCTGGAACCACAAGCTAAAATAAAGACTGTCTTCCATGCCTGTCTTGTAGCTTGGATATTTTATTACAGCAACAGAAAATTAACACAGGCTTTAAGCAACTTAACTCCTCATAACTTCTACGTGCCTAGTTCTGAAAGTGTGTATGCCATGTTGTTCTGAACTCATAACTGGGAAGCTTAGGTGGGACATTACAGGCCTAAGCAGCAAGTTCACTCGGTGCTTGCTTCCCGCGGCTCACAGGACTGACAGGACAGGAAGCAGCTTCTCTTGAGTCGCTGCCGGGTGACATCCTCTGTGGACTAGGGACTGTGTGATTCCTGTGAGGCCCGAGATCCCTCGTGCACGCCGCTTCCTGTGGACAGTTCTCAGCCATTATGAGGAGAATGTGTGCTGTTACCTTGACCTCTTTCAGGAGGTCCCCGAAGATCAGAGAGCTGTTACAAACATCCTCAAAGACCTCCCCAAAGACCTGCAGCCTGTTGAACTGCTGAGGGTTGCAGGTGCATATCTTCTGGAGTTCCTAGAAGGAAGACACAGAGTCAGCCCCTGCAGCGGGTAGGGTCTCCATGCTCCCCTCAGAACAGTTTGTCCTTCTGAGGGGTCATTTGGAAAAGGCAACCCAGATACCGGGCTCTGCAGAGTGGGTGGTAAATCCAGGGGCCTCTGATGGTCCTCCACAGCTGCTCAGAGCCTGGTCACTCGCAGGTGTTTGCTCCCGTCATTTTCCTTATCCACCCCTGCCTCCTGCACTCAGAAATTCATCTTCTGCCTCCCCACCCCGCCACAGACATGCACAGAAGACCCTTCCCTTTCTCACAGTATGCTCATTCCAAACCCTGGGCTCTGGCTCTCTGACACATAGATGCCCCTTTTCTCCCCTCCTCTGAATTCTTGCTCTAGTTGGTAAGGTTCCCTCTCAGGTCACAGTCACTTCACACATCAGCCCCCACCAGCACACCCCCATCACTCTAACCCACTACCCACAGTCACTTCACACATCAGCCCCCACCAGCATGCCCCCATCACTCGAACCCACCAGCATCTGCATCATCTCTCTTTCCAGGGTTCTTCCCACCCATCTTCTCTAGGAGGTAAGGCGGACATTCTTTTGTATCCCAGATCGAGCATTTCCAAAGCTGTTCCCATCGATCACTGAATACTGCTGATCATAAATTCACCCCCAGCTTACCCCTGTTGAATGTCACCGTCCTCCCCATTCACCTCAATTCTCATTGACCATGCTGGGTACTGGGGGGCACCAGTAAATTAGTTGCATTCTGCCTGGACAGGTAACTGAGGTACTCAGGTTGAGTCTGGGCCCCTGAGGGTCTCTGAACTGCGGCCCCATGTTGAGAGCATCACCCAGAGCTCCACTCTGCTTACCTCCTTCAGTTTCTTCTCATGGTTCTCAGCCACTTTGCTCCCCGTGAAATCACTCTTCGGGATACCTTCCTTTGCCAGCACTTCTTTTTGGAAGCTCAGGAACTTGTTGTATCTGTCAGCCTTTGTTATACCAGCTAAGTAGGAGCTGACGTACCGATACACATCCCTGCCCGAGGCAGCCCTGGCACACTGGCGGCTGGAGGGTATCGCGGGGTACCTCAGCACTTTCATCTCGGGCAGCCTGAGCTCTTCCTTCCTGTGTCTTTCCCGAGAAAGCACGCGTCTTTCCCTGACTTCCTCCTCTTCCTCCTCCTGTGGGACCTTCGAGGTGACACCCTCTTTGGAAACATGGGAAGTGACCATCCGTGGGTTCAAATACCTGAACAGCCTTGTGTTGTGGCTGTCATCGGGACGCAGGGCCGTGTTGATCGTGAAGTAAGCCCACGCGTCCCTCATCTCTGCTGTCTGTTTGTCTCTGGACACAGAGGGTGGGAAGATTCGTGGCTCCTTTGGCCTGTTGGCATTGTGCCAGTGCTCAGTGATGATCTTGGAAGGCCCGTAAAGCTTGTCAGGGTTCAGGTGTCCAGAGGTGTAGACATAGATATCATCCCTGTGGTCCTTGTGGAGTCGGGTCAGGAGCTCCCTCAGGTTGCATAGAGTCTTGACGCCATAGGTCTCACAGTGCTTCCACTTGAGGTAAACTGCTCAGGAGAGAAGACACAGCTGTGAGGCCCCCGCTGAGCCCACGGAAAAGCAGCCCTGTGGCCTGCCTGTTACAGAAAAGAGGGGTCTACTCAAAGAGGACAAGAAGATAGCATCCAGCTCCGTCCTTATAAGTCGGACATACCTGTGGCCACCTCAGGTGCAGCCAAGGAGAAAGAGCACGTGGGTGTGCCCCAGGTGCTCCTATAGGCATAAAACTCACAACCCTTCAAGGCCAAGCTGGAGAGTTTTGATTGTCCATGGGAGGCAGTAGAATCACCTGTGACGGGAATCTCAAGCAGGGACGTCCAGATCAGGTTGGCTTGAGGGTGCATCTGTCCCGGGTTGTTTTCATGACCTGACTGGATGTGGGAAGAACTGGCCCACTACGGGCAGCCCCATTCCCTGTGCTCCGTGTCTCAGACTGCGGCAGCAGAGAGAAAGCACTAAGGACTAGAAACGCATGTGCATTCCTTTTCCTCTGCTCTTGACTGTGAGTGTGATGTGACTGAAGTCCCTGCCCCCTTAGTTTCAGTGGTGTGCGGGACTATTGCCTGGAATCCAAAGCCCAGAAAACCCATTAGCCCTTAAACTTGTTTTTTGTCAGGGTATTTTCATCACAGTAAAAGAAATGGAAGGACCACCAACCAGGAGAGAGATGAAGTGCATGCACGTGACAGTGTTGCTTACAACGTAAGCAAAGCTTCCCCTAGAAGGCAAGTTTTACGTGTGATTCTAATTTTCCTTAGTAAGGATGAAAAGTCACCTTTAAAATGTGATCCATAAAACATGCCAGGGAGTAAACAGGGGTTGCTTACTTGTTCGATTTTCCCTCCAATTGGTACTAAAGCGGTGTTTCTCAGCCTGTGGGGTGTGACCCCTAAGGGTAGAATGACCCTTTCACAGGGGCTGCCTAAGATCATCAGAAAATAGATATTTATATTATAATTCATAACAGCAGCAAAATTACAGTTATGAAGTAGCAAGGAAAATAATTTTATGGTTGGAGGTCACCACAACATGAGGAACTGTATTAAAGGGTCTCAGCATTAGGAAGGTTGAGAACCGCTGCTCTAGAGAATGTCAGGGTCTGTGCATTTCCATGTTATGTGTACATGTACTCTCACGATTGCATCTCAATCTTATGGGCACACATGATTGTGGATAGTCTAGAAGATGGTTTCTTATTTAACTGCACAATTTTTATGAATGAAAACATACTAAAATATGCTTCATACTAGATCTATTGTTCCATGTGGACTGTAGACACTTAGAGGTCTTGTTCTCCATCCTTAGCTACTGACAAGGTAAATATTGGCCAGACAAAGTGTCCTCATAGAACTTTCACAGAGCAGAATTGCAGGTGCCTGGCCTTGTTAGATCAAAACCCTTCGGAAGAATTATAGTGAACCAGAAGTGATAGTGCAGGTGTCTGGCCTTGGTATATCTTAGTCCATCTAGAGATCAATAACACCTATGTTGTCCTAAGCTTCCTCCACAGGCTGCAGTGGAGCCAGCGTCCACTCACTGTCCTGCCCACCAGTGGGTGTGGCCGTGGGGGTTTGTGGGCACTGGGCCTTCAGACTTGCAATCTGCTTGGTGCCACCACCTCTCCCAACTGTCCCCGAGTGAACTCTGCCTCTGGGTCTCGGTGTCATCACTTAGAGCTGGATTGTCAGGTTGTTAGATTTATTTCATGTGAATTGTTCCCCTCTTTTATTATGTTGCCAATAAACTAAGCCTTCGAGAAAGACACCCGACTGCTTGCCTCTCTGTGACCTGTAAGTCATGTTCCAAGACAGCAGCAGTGTGGTACAGGAAGTTTCTCAAAGCTCGGCTCTAAAGAAAGCAAACCAACACTGAGCCAGTATAGTGAGTCCCTCCGTACCTTTCCCCCCAGGGCACTGTACTTACTAACATGCACACCTTCACACACATCCTACAACGTAGCTCAGACACCATGGGGATGGTTACTTTTGATTGACATCTTGACCCAACATAAAATCCCAATAGGAACCCTGGAGGGAAACTGTCTAGATGAGGTTGCCCTATGGCCATGCCCTGAGGGATTTTCTTAAATGGGTTCACTGAGGTGGGAAGACCCACCCTGTTTCCTGGGCCAGACCCTGGACCGAATGAAAAGTCAGCTGGATGGAACACTGGTGTACACGTGTCCTTTGCTCTGGTCCTGGTTGTGGACAGAAATGGCCGGGCTTCCTCAACTTCTGAAAGCACCCCCGTGTCTCTGAGTCCAAGCAAACCAATCTGATCCAGCAGCTGACCTCCAGCCTGGAAAGGCTTTTACTTTCAAAACCGCTTCTGAGAAACGGGCTTTCCTGGGCCATCAAACATCAACTTTAAGCCAGGCAAACACAAAAATGGGGACAGACAACTTACAATCAGGTTCCTGATCCTTAGCCATCGACCCTCTTGTCACCAACTGCGAGCCAAGGCTGCCGTTGCCACGGGAACAGTAAACATTCTGAGCCCCTCCCCCACAATGTAGCTCTGGGGCCCAGCCACAGGGTGGCAGGGTAGCCAGCATTTCCCATCGTTCCTCAGCCAAGCCTGTGAGTATTGCCTGGGAGCACGGGAGGGATGCTCACTGGCTTTACCTTTCAAGACCAAACATGCTTTCGGATTTGAAAGCAACTAGGCAGAGTTATTACAGGGCCTGGGGACAAGAGGTAACTCATCCCTGTGGTGTCCCCGATGAACCCGCTGCAGTCCTTGGTTCTAGCCCAGAGGGCAGTGGGCACTAAAGTAACGCTGGGCTGTGGTGTGATATGACAGAGTCACCAGTTGAGATGCTAGAGTTCTGGTGACGTGCCCAAGGCTGGGCAGGGAGGAAAGAACTCTGATTTGTACACCCACGCCATCCTTTTTTTTTTTTCTCCAGCCAGAAAGAATTGCTCCAAGCCATGGTTTATGTCAGTGCAGGCATTCTATCCCCTAGGTGACAAAATCAGAATGTCAGGGGTCGAATACCTGTCGGGCCTTAAGAATACAGCAGACCCCATACTCTCTCCTGTTAATATTCCATCAAAGCGACTGAACGAGAAGTATATTCAGTGATTATCTGTGCAACATACTGACCTGTGAAAACCAAACTGGATTTTTCTGGAAGCAGATCCCTGGTTTACCCACGTTGTTCCGTGTTCTCCCTCTACGTGGTGCTGGGGGCATCTGGAGGCCGAGGGATGGAAGGACCAGATACATCTGGGTCCTCCCAGGAAGGAGCCTCCTGAGCAGCAGTGGCCATGCATGCACTGTGGAAAGCCTCGGAGAGCAGAGTCGCTGCTGCCCACCATGACCTCTGACCTTGACCTATGACTTCGGCAGTAAATCCTGACCCAGAGCCAGCACTGTTGAAAAGTAACTGCATAGTGCTTTCCGGTTGTCAAGGTGTGGTGTGCAAGGGAACTAACCATTCTTCTACAATGCAAGGCTGGAACCCAGGTCCTTGGAGACGGATGCCCTACCACTGGGCCATACTCCTCTAGCCTACCTAGCAGCAGAGTGATGGTGTGTGGGGTGTGCATGTGCGTGTGTGTGTGTGTGTGTGGAACCACAGAGGAAAGTCTGCCTTTGCCAGACAGGACAAGAAGGTGGGTGGGAGCAGTGGACATTGCAGTCCACCTCTGTCTTGGGTTTCTATTGCTGTCATACACACGACCATCAAAAGCTACTTGGGAGGAAGGGATTTCTTTCTCCTAACAACTCGAAGGTCACACTCTATCTCTGGAGGAAGTTGGAACTCAAGCTAGACAGGAACCTGCAGGCAGGAGATGATGCAGAAGCCATGGAGGAGTACTGCTTGCTGGCTTGCTTCCCATGGCTTGCTCTGCCTCATTTATTAGGCACTCAGGACCAACTGCCCAGGGATGGTGCCACCCATAGTGGGCTGGACCCTCCCACACTAATCATTACTCAAAAAAAAAGATGCCCCACAGACTTGCCTACAAGCCAAGTATTATGGCATTTTCTAAGTTGAGGCTCCTCTTACCAGACAATTGTGGCTGTTTGTCAACTCACCAAAAAAACTAACAAGCACAAACCCTGGTATGATCCAGGAGTAGACTCCACATTTATACAAAGAGGTTGTCCTCTGGCTCCTCTCCACAGAGACCAAGCATCTCAGCAGCTGCGTCGTGTGGTGGTATTGTGTTCCCCAAAATACTGTGCACCCTAATAAACTTATCTGGGGTCAGAGAACAGAACAGCCACTAGATATGGAGGCCACGCCTTTAATCCTAGCATTCCAGAGGCAGAGATCCATCCGGATCTCTGTGAGTTTAAAGCCACATTGGAAATAGCCAGGTGTGGTAACAAGAGCCTTTAATCCCAGGAAGTGAGCCTTTAATCCCAGGGAGTGATGGCAGAAAGCAGAAAGGTATATAAGGCTTGAAGACCAGAAACTAGAAGCTTTTGGCTGGTTAATCTTTTAGGCGTTTGAGCAACAATTAAGCTGAGTTTTATTCTGGATGAGGACTCAGAGGCTTCCAGTCTGAGGAAACAGGATCGGTTGAGGAGTTGGCAAGGTGAGGTGGCTGTGGCCTGTTCTGTTTCTCTGATCTTCCAGCATTTACCCCATACCTGGCCTCAGATTTGTTTTTATTAATAAGAACTTTTAAGATTTGTGCTACAGCGTCGGGTGCAGCCTGCCTCTCCCAGTCAAGCGCCTGTGGGAAGAATATCTGGCCGCCACCTGTGGGCAGTCGCTCGGAGCATCTGTCGTCTTCCCCACAAACAAGAGAGCAAACTTGAGAGATGATACTTTAAAAACTTTGTATTCAATTATTCACACCAAAGAATATCCATTAAAATTATGAACATTTCTAAATAGATTTCATGTATCATACATATATATATACTTTATATGTATAATTACATATCCACAAAAGATTCGTTACTGCTTTAGGCATGTGGGTAGAACAAAGATAGAGATTTTGCAGTGTAACACCCATATATGCATATATACTGGCTGCTTGAATTATGAATTTATTTACACCTTGCCCGAGTTATAATAAATGATTACTGTTCTATTATACAAACGTAACAGTAAAGGTTTTTTAAATACAAAGACTGCAAATGAATACATGAAAAATTACACACATGTACAATATTTATAATTTATAAATGTAAAGATAAGACTTCTTTAAATTATTGCACTTGCGCACTTTACAAAGATTCATACATATAAAATCATCTTTTTGGAATTTACTAACTCATCGACTATAATAATGTTGGATATTGTTAACTTGGAATTCTTTCTTTCCCCCTCCAAAAGAGAGCCCATTAAGGCTTTGGCTGCAGACCCATCCACCGAGGATCAGTTGCTTGGACCTGTGCTCCTGTTCCCGCAGGTGTTGGCCAGCGAGGAGGCTGTCACCGTGACCTCTGAGGTGCCTTGGCTGGGTGTGGATGGAGAATCTCTTTTGTTCCTATGTTCATGTGGAGAAAGTTGTTCTTCTCAGAAAGAATCCAGATGCTGCACTTGTAGTTTGGAAAGTGTTTCACAGTGTTCTGGGCAAGTACGTGATTTTTAAATAGGTAGGGCCCTGTACAGAAATACTTCTGTGCGTCAATCAACTGCACTTCTTTTGTACAGTAAATGAACATGTAGCATATACTCCATACAACAGATCATATGGAAACAGTATTCCCACACACCATTTCTATTCACTATTCTAGATACAGCATAAGACTGAGGATTAAGGTGACCCAACCAAAGAAGAGAGTGGGGATGCCCATGGTAGAGTGATCTTTTAGGTGGGCTAGACAAAAACAAGTGTTTAGGGGTTTAATTTACATCAGAGATAAAACATCTGCAAATGTATATTCCTGGAGGTTAAGCACTGAGATGTGTGTGCTCACTTCCTTTGTGGCCGACTCTGTATGCAGCTAAGGTTCCGCCCTGGTGTGTGGGCATTATCCTGTGCCCCCCAACCAGGGTCAGCCCTAGGTATGATGTTTCAGTTACAAATCCTCACAGTTACAGGAACAGCAGGCAGACTGCTCACAGCCCACAAAGCACCAACTTCCACTACTGAGCAGGGACAAGTCAGGTGACTGAGGCAGTGTTTCTTTGGGTTCTGAGTGTGTTTTTCTTAAGGAGACATCAGCTTTGTGGTTCTATACTCCTCACTGGCAACAAGGACACCTCTAAGCATTTTTTCTTTCTTTTGCTCTGTTTTTTGTCAATGCATAAAACGCCTTAAATACTTCTATTGATCACACTGTACAGCTCTGTTTAACAGTAAGAATGTTGTACTCCACTGGGCATCTCTAATTTAAACTTAGTGTAAATAATGCCGCTCAATGGGCAGCAACAAAAACTCCCATGTGGAAATGCAACTGTCACGCAAGGGGAAGCCACAGCTGTCAGCACACGTGACTTAACTCCAACTTCACACTGACTGTCAAGTCAGACTGACAGTTGAAACCGAAGGGGACTGTGAATGGATGAACAGTCTTCCAAGAATGCCCCTGCATACAAGGCCAGCGGAGCGCAAAGCAAATGCGGGTTTGGAATACACAGAGAGAAGTGACTTTCAGTACCAAAGCCAGCTGAGGAGCCGCGAACCCCAGAGATCCATCCGTGCCTCGGACTGGAGCCACAGTTCTCAACAAACAAGAGGACCCCAGGGTAGGTGTCAGGGACATGCGATGACAACAGGAACCTGATGAGCAAAGGTGGACCTGACCAGGGACATGCCCCTTTACACACACTGTCCCTTACACTTGAGAAAGGTCAAAGATGAGCTCATGAGAGAGAGGGGGAAAGTCAGCATTTAAAAGAAGGGCCCGAGGCCAAGGCAGGGTGAATACTTCAGTCCTGTTCAACTGAGATCTTAATTTAGACCCAAGAGAGCAGAAATACCACAGGCCAAGCGAAGCCCATTGGAAGACCTGGTCGGTCCCTGAGGCCGTCATGCAGTAACAGGCAGGCTGTGCTCACACTTCCAGCACATACATGAACACAGCGGGGGGAAAAAAAGCAGAGTTCACTGCGTGTGTACAAAATAAAAACGCTAACACATGCTAGAAAGAGGAACCCGACACTAAACAGGTCAGGGCAAACTGACTCTGTCTGTTGTGAGAATGAGTCACCTGAAGCCTCACAGTGACAGGCGCCAGCATACTCTTCAAACCGGAAGGAGCTGGGGATAGGATTCCGCTTCCCTCTTCCTGTGTCTCACATACTAGGAAGGTAGGAAGCTGTCGTCACCCCCGGCACGCTTCCCACCGCCTCCACAGCTGCTCACACCCTCTACTTTGATCTAATCAACTAACTGATGTTTACAAATTTTAGGACTGTACTTCACCGCCCTGACTCAATACTTCACATTAGTGTTGGCATGCACTTAGGTATCCGAGAACATTTTCCCAGACACAAAGGTACCACAACATGTGGAAAGAAATTGAACAACCACCACGACTATAGAATTTGTGCATTAAAATGATGATAACAAATTTCGGTAAATGCAACATTCTGTTTATATTCATTACTAGTCACTGAGTTTACATCAGACACTAATGAGAAATTCCTGGACATCTTTGGTGGGAGAAAACACGGTGAGAAAAGAGGTGGGAAAAAACTCAGGCAGGATTCAAGTGCCTGTCTGCTAAATATATTTGCCAAGACACAAAAACCACTCCTGACTGCATGAATTCTAAAAGCAAGTTGTTAACTGAACACGGCTGCATCCTGGCCTCTCTTATTTTGGGCAAATTTAGGCCTCCTGAGTCTCATACACGGTGAAAACAATGTTACAGAGTTTTATCAGCTACAATCTTTTACCCAAACTGCTTCTCATGTTGACATTTCACAAGAGACGGACTAACCAGCAAATTCCTAGCAGGTTCCTCTGCAAAACTGCCCCAGGAGAGGCCACACCATACAATATTCTTGGCTAGGTCAAATTCAAAGAGATTTCTGTAATATTCTTATTACCACAGCAACCATGAAATGCTAAAAGCAGCCACAGGAGTCCCACCACCTGGATCCTTTTCCATACTCGGGGGACAGAATTCACTTCACGCACACCTTCAAAATGCCAGAATGAAGCAACCATCTTAAAGGCCGCCCCTTCCTGCAATCCAGCTTCCAAGACAGATGACTGATCAACTTGTGTGGATAAAGCGGCTTTTTGTGGAATCTAGTGCGACATGTCGGTATGAGGACAGTGGACTTGCTTCAGCCTTCCACTTGTGAACACTCACAGAAGCGACACGTCATTCATGGCCTCATTTCCCAACATGGAGAAATCACCGCTTTCGAATACGGGGGTCTTTCTTTCCTTTTGTCTGGTGTGTGCACCATATATACATCTGTGTGTTTGTCCCCACACCATGTGTGCGTGTGTGCATGTGTGTGCACAGCCCTGGTGTTCGCTGGCATCACCTTTTACCTCATATGGGGACAACAGCAAATGGAGGAGTGTGGAGGGAGACTTTCCCAGAAGCCCGTGAGGAAACTGAACACGTGGTGTGAATATGAGAACAAGGTCTGTATTCAGCCCACCCTGCTACTACATCAATCAGTATGTAGAAGAAAACCGAACAGATTTTTGCAAATGCCAAGCTTCTCTAAGCAGTGGTGTATACAGTATCGAGCACATCCAAGTCTATTTCAGAAATTCATTTCAGAGCAACTTTTCACACGCCTGCCAGAGTGGGGAGAGAGCCGTTCATTCCTGACCAGCCTCCACCTTCTCAAGACTCATTCACTAAGTGAGAACCACCAAGAAGGGACTCCATGCCACTGTCCTGAAAATCCTCACGGTGTGAACCGGGACTTCCATAGATCTCAGCAGGAAGGGCCCGGAGGGCTCTGTTGCCTTCTCAAACTTCACACAGCAGCAATCCCCAGAAAGTCACACACGAGAACTATTCACACTTGAGGTTCTTTGAGGAGGACTGGATATGAGAGTGGCAGAGAGGACATAATCAGCGGTCCATGTGGTGGCCCTGCACCTCCTCCTGTTGGGCCTGACCGCACAGTGAGGGAGAGATTGGAATTCCAGGAAACTGAGGCTGCACTGTCTGGCACCTGTGAAGGGCGTACGGCATGAAAGGGGGTATTATTTAGAATCATCTTTCATTTTGGATGTGATAAAAATGCTGCCCTAGCACACAATAAAAATATAAAGAAACTGATTTGAAAATTCACATTGTTTACTCACAGATCTTCTTGCTGGAGGAAATTTCTATGCCTTGCTTTTATTTTCTTTGTGCGAAGGATTTGGTTAAAGTTGCTGAAGGCTACAGTCTACAGTGAGGGGGAAAGTGTTTTAATTTTTGACATGGTTTGAAGTGAGAGCTGCACTTTTCAGATGCCTGGGATGTACCCTGTGTCTCCTCGACCAAGGGCAGAGGTCTTCTTCCTTCCGTGGAGCTGACTTGCTTGTGTGCCCCCAAATAAACTGAAAGAACACACCCTTAGTCTGCCTACAATCAGCAACTTGAATTTCTCTATCACCCGCAGGTTGTGACCTTCGTTACCTATGTCCCAGGCCACAACAAGGAGGTGACATGTCCTATTTATAACCAATGCCACCAAGCAGCATTGCCGCAGAGACGAAGCACAGAACCAGGGTACTGGCCACACCCTCATGGAAGGACCCAGGCAAGAAGCCCTCTTGTGGTCTCTGCCCACCTCCCAGGCCAGCGCACCACTGGCCTGTTCGCAGATGGCATTCAGAAGGCAGGTGGAGCCTGGGTTGCTCACTGTCCAAGGCGTGAGCGGCAAGCAGAGGTCGTCTGCTTCACGTGTGTGTGTGTGTGTGTGTGTGTGTGTGTGTGTGTGTGTGTGTGTGTGTGTGTGTGTGTGTGTGTGTGTATGATGGTACCTTCTGGGAGAGGTTTCCCCCGCTTAAAAATAAAAGGAACGAAGTCAAAGAAGCAGGATGAGGGTCAGTCGCCGGGCGAGTACCTCGCCAGGATCAGTCATCAACCTTCACAGGCAGCTTCTCAGATGCCCCCTTGCCAGCTGCTGGGGCTGAAATCCACAACGCAGTCTCCTCCCCGCGAATCACCTTCTCCCACTGATTGAGATTATCCCTAGGAACAAAGGACACAGTTACAGATGACCTCTGGACTGGCTTTCAGAAGTGACATCCGTCATGTGGGACAACTGAGCTTTGTCAGGGTCATTCTGATGCTGACAGTGGCTGGTGTGGGGCAGCAAGGCAGCCTCTTGCCACGGCTCTTCAGCAGTGAGCACCAGAGCCACCAGAGCACTGGACACCTTGTTCCACTGGCTGCGAAGACAAGGGCTGAGCTGGATCGAGGGTCGTATTTCCTAATTATTGAGGATGACGGAGTCAGCAGTGGTACCTAGGGCTCCTGGTCGGGGCGGATCGGGGCAAGGGGCAGCCAGGGGTGGGTCGCAGGTGAGAGAGCGGGATGATACCACCCAAGTGACACAGACCTCGGAAGGCCAGTTAGGCGCTCCTTGGTGCGTTTAATCTGGACAGCCTCTCGTGTGTAAAACATCTCAAATTCCCTGACCTGGACTTCCAGAACATCCCACTGCAGAAGCAGAACCTCTGCTCTGGTGACCTCCCATCGGAGCCCCGTTCTCCTACTGACCTCTAATCTTTTTTCTCCTTGTTCTCAATTGGAACACCACAGGCATATGGCCTTATAACCAGCGATGGTGACAGCCTCCTGTGCGAGCCTGCCCTGTGAGCCTGGCAGAGTTCTTCACCCCACCCTACCCTGCCTGACCTGACTTTCTTTTACACAAAGTCAATCTCAGAAAGGAGCTTTGACAAAATTTATACACAACACTACTAAAAAAAATCCCCTAATTTTCTTTCATTAGCAAGCATGCTAAAATACCTTTGGGGGAAAAAAATATCCTAACATACAATGGAAGCCAAGTAAGACTCTTAATCTGTACCATAACATTAAGTATCATTTTCCTGGATCTCAGGGATAGTCTGATATGTTTGGAAATGACACACACTAAATTTGGTAATTTCCTTAGTCTTCATGTCTACAAAATATTTAAACACTCGAATGGTCTTTAAGAAATGAGGTGGGTTAGCCAAAGCCACTGACCACACTCTCCAGGCTGCTTGTGTTGAGTGCCACAGCAGTCAGGCCTGTGCCTGAAGGCCCAACAGCTACGTACCCTGCCCGCTTGTAATATCTATTACAGAGCATGGCATTCCAGATAGGAAAGGGGTTTTCAACTTAGGGTCTGGATGCAGATGATTTGCTATCCCCGCTCCCCCTTGATGCCAGTACTTCTGTGAGTGGCTCCTTCAGGGAGTGAGCCACAGCCCAGGTGTGGAGCCATCCTTCTTGGCCTCTGTGGATCAATTCCTGGGAACTCCCTATGACTCGGGCTGCTGAAGCACAACCAGACAGGCCAGGTGTCGCACTCTCCAGGATTGGATGGAAGAAACGCTGTCTCTCAGACAGGAAAACGAATGAGTCAAAATGGCCCTCCTTGTTGGCTTTATTGGTTTGGTGTTTTCAAGAATGTCCACAGCAGAGGCTGGAGCACACCGCATTTGGGTTTTCTCTAACACTTCTGGCTAAACGTATGCCCACGTCTTCCCTAGTGCCCACTCCAGCTGCCCAGCCTGGGCAAGACGGGGCCGTGAGAAAGCCTGGACACCATTCACCCCCTGCTTTCCCGAGAGGGACTTCTCTTAAAAAGAAAATTAGAATCTTTAAAAAGTCAGTGTTCTTAACTGAGCTGGGATCTCAGAAGAGGTGGGGCAGAGGTGGAGGGGATCTGCGGCTAGGGCACATGGGAGGAGGCAAAGCACCCCCAAGAGGAAGGGCGCCCATCCAAGCTTTCTCTCTTCCACTCACAGTTCCTGCTGCGGTTTAGGCCAAGCCCCTTCCCTGACAATCACCTGAGCAGACAGCTCTGTCCTCAGATGCAGTGCTGGACACTCCTCTGCACAGGGACAGGGCCTCCTGCTCTGTCTGGAGGGAATGAATGGGCATGCTCTCCTCATACACTATGTAGGTCACTGTAGGAGATGCATGGTGGCTCTGAGATTTGTGACAGGCATGTCTGAGTGTCTGCAGGCCACACTGGGTGTCGGAGGCTGCAGGGTGCTGCCTGGCAGGGATCTGGGAGTCGGGGTCCCGTCAGCACAGATCACGGACAGGACATTCACAGGTCTAGGAGGGAGCCACTTATGGCAAGAGGTACACTGCCTTCAGGGAGACGCCTCATGCCTGGCTCACAAGGAGCATGGGTGAGACCCCTACTTTGAGGGTTCCTGTGCACACAGCTGTCCTTTGACCTGCCCTGGTCCATGGCATGTGTGGGGCACCATTTGTCCTGTCTGAGCTACAGAACAGGATGCCTTAGCATCAGCTAGTGTCTGAGATTCAACTCTAATTAAAAAAAAAAAAAAAAGGAAAGAAAGCAGAGTGGGGTTCTCATTCCTGAGGAAACCAGCCAGCTGGGCCCACCCAAGACCCACTGCACACAGTAAATGGACAGACAGCAGAGCAAACACACAAGCTTCAGATCAGAAGATTCACTATAGACTGTGCACACCACATGCCCACAGGCTGGTGAGTGAATGCTGTGCCTACCTGCAGGCCTTCAGCAGTGGCTCTGTGGGCGGGAGGATCTGCGTCAGCGTGGTGTAGCAGGGAATGGCCACGGCATTGTAGAATCCAAGCTGCCGCAGAGGGAGGTCGGGAAAACGATACAAGGTCATGGTTAGGATGTTGATGCTCCCATTGTCCCTGAAGCCTAAGTATGAAGTCAGCCACTCTGGGGTGTGTGTGTGTGTGTGTGTGTGTGTGTGTGTGTGCTGTGTGTGTGTGCTATATGCTGTGTGTGTGCTGTGTATGTGTGTGCTGTATGCTGTGTGTGTGCTGTGTATGTGTGTGCTGTATGCTGTGTGTGTGTGTGCTGTGTATGTGTGTGCTGTATGCTGTGTGTGTGTGTGCTGTGTATATGTGTGTGCTGTGTGTGTGTGCTGTATGCTGTGTGTGTGTGTGTGCTGTGTATGTGTGTGCTGTGTATGTGTATGCTGTATGCTGTGTGTGTGTGCTGTGTGTGTGTGCTGTGTGTTGTGCTATGTGTGGTGTGTGTGGTGTGCTGTGTGTGTGCTTTGTGTGTGTGTGTGTGCTGAGTGTGTACTGTGTGCTGTGCCTGTGCCGTGTCTTCTGGGCCGAGAGGACCAGTGCTGCCTAGCTGACAGACCGTTCAGATGGATGCCAAGGACACACACACACACACAAATCCCTAATACACTGCTGCAGTGCACACCCACGGGACTCAAAACTTGAGTGAGTTGAACAGGTTAAACTAGTCAGACTAGAATCCAAGGCCTGTGGAGATCCTGTGCTAACGTGACCGTGACCGCTGCCCTGTGGACATCACAGAGTCAGGTCCACAGTCCTTCCCCGGCCTGCTCTCTTCCCGCTCAGCATTCAGGGGCAGCTGACATTACTTCTGGTTTTCTTCTGTGACCTTGAGCCCTGTGCCATCCCCACCCTCTCTCAGACTTTTGCCTTTCAGCTCAGCTCTCTCTCTCTCTCTCTCTCTCTCTCTCTCTCTCTCTCTCTCTCTCTCTCTCTCTCTCTCTCCCCCACTACAGTTTTAACATTTGACATTACCCAGCCTACCTAGTGAAGGGCAGACATGGATCACTGTAGGACTGCCCAGAGCCCAGACCACTGCCCTCCACTGGGGAGCCCCACTTCATGACTGGCCAACAGACGGCGAAGTGGCCTCACTGGCTCCCTCGGCCAGCCCAGCAGCTTCTTTAGAGAGCAGAAGCAGCAGGGGTTCCAAGTGGTTCGGCTTTGCTTTCTCCTGCGGTAGTTGGGGTCACAGCCTTCATGCGAGAGCAGTGCTCAGACATTTCCGCTTTGGACATAAGTCTGAGACAGCATCTCTCTCGTCTACAGTCCAGGTGGACCTGGGACTCACGAACCTCCCGCCACAGGTTCCCGGGGGCTGGGGCTGCAGGGATGAACCACCTCAGCAGGTCTGTTTTTAGTTTCATAGCACGTGCAGGTGTTTTCTTATTCTAAATCTGAGCAAGGAGTCACTGGGCTACAACACCTGAGAAAAAGATTATGTCCCGGAGAACGGAGTACTTCACTGTCGTGACAAAATATCCTCACGGTGATCTATTTAGAATTTAGAAGCATTGGAAAGTATTTGTGGATCTCAGAGCTATTTAAAACTCCCGCATGCTACAAAAAGAGTCCCTCTTTTGGCAAAGCCCAGTCTATTTTAAAAGGAACTATCTTTCCAATTGAGAATCCTAAAACGGAATCCTTTGGGGGACAGACTCTGTTACAACTGTTTAGAAAGACTTTGTTAGATCCCTTCCTTAATGACAAGATGTATTTCAAATAATTTCATAACCAAATGTAAAACAGGGAAACAAAAGAAGCCGTGAAGGGGAGTCAGTCAGGTGTCTGTACCCCAGCATGGGCAGGACCCCAACAGGTTCCCACAAACCCAGGAACCAGACAAGCACACAAACAGGGAGTTCTGTGTTTGAGAACCGTCCACACAGGGCTCCAAATCACCAAGTTCCATAGACAGATGATGGGAAGACAGACAGACAGACAACCATAGAGACGGCTCTTGTCCTCCGTACCTGTCCTTGAGGGACCTCGTCCCGCTTGTCTCTGTCCATCATCGGGATGGGCTGTATGCCCAGCTTCTTCATCTCATCGCCCTAGAATAGACAGGGCGAAGTTATCCGTGGTTTTCAAAGAGTCATACAAAATTTTGGTGTTAATGAAAATTTTCTTTAAAATGTCTCACGCCCCAAGAGACATGTGGTCAAAGCAATGGCAATCATGTGTCACTGTCTGGTACTGTGTTCTGACACTCTTTTTTGCCAAGCTCTTGGACACCCAAACGTCTCCTCTGGTGCCACTGTACAGCAGGAGGGGTGAGAGGTATGAAAAGGTGGAAGGGCTACCCCTGCTTCGTTTTCAAACGGTTCTTCCTTTGTGTGAAGGGAGGGAAGCTGGGCTTGAAGGGTACTGACGGAGGGATGATGAGCGGCTTGTCAAAACTGTCACTGAGGATCCGGGGCGGCTGACACACAGCTTGGTACCGCATTCCTGCTGTGAGTGGACGCTGTAAGGGACTTCCTGCACACTAGACTTTGGGATGAGTGTTTGTATCATTCCACTTGCTCCTCCAGAAATGCTACAAGATGCTCACAGCATCCTTACAGCTCTTACAAAGTCACTAGCTTCTGTTTCGTTAAAGTTTGTTGAAATCTTCTTAATGATGCATACTTCATCATTTAAATGAACTTTTTTTCCCCCTTCGGAAATCACAACCCTACACTGAAACCTTCTAGGATTCCTTAGAGTCAGAAAGGAGTTCCTATACCCCTCACTTAAGCACTGCGCCCTACAACGTGCCCTGTACCACCCAGGTCCTCAAAGCTCCAATGCTTCAGCTCCTTGCTTTAAATTCAGAAACCGGTGGGTCTCGCTGCTTTCTTCTCTATCCAAATGGGTGAAGCCTACCAAGTTCCTGCCCAGGATGACATCACAAGTCAAATGAAGCCGCGTCAGTGTGTGCTTAGAGCAGCCCGACGCTGGAAAGGAAACCCAGGGATGTGGGACAAGCAAGGGACAGGCACCCAAGGAGTAGCTTCAAAAACTGTAGGGGGCAGAGGCAGGTTATGGAAGTGAGGGGTGGGGTGGAGATCTGAATCCCCGTGCTGGTGGGAAGCTCCGACAGGGGGTGCTGACTGCCCAGGGTGACACTCTAAGGGCCAAAGCAACGGTGCTCTGGGGCCACATGACCCAAGACTGCAGGCTTCATCATGGCTACTCCTTCTGAAGGGCACAGGAGAGGAATGTGGAGGTGGGAAAGGGGTAGAGGAGGAGGCAGCAGCATGGTGGGAAGGAGAGGAGACACTGGACTTCAGGGGGGTAAATCAACCCACAGGACCTGGAAACTACTTGTGGCTCCTCCCACGGACAAGGTCCCGGGAGACTGCCTGCAATGCTTGGAGCTTTATCCGCCCTGGACTGGGTGATCGGCAAGGGGTATGCAGAGAGGGAACCTATACTGTGTGCCTGTCACACCTTCATTCACAGCTTAGAATTCAAACGTTGTTGGAAAAGTATGATCTGCATAGTATGTAAAACCTGGTGTAACAACGGTCCAGCTTTCCCAGGTGGTGTTTACAGACTGTACTGCAGCTCACACATACACCCGAGCCAACCGAGGCAGTGAAGGATTAGTGCACTTGAGAACTGTGTATCTCACTTTCATTAATTAAGCATGACAGGTTCTGTTACAAAAAAAAAAAAGTGTGCATGTGTGTGTGTGTGTGTGTGTGTGTGTGTGTGTGTGTGTGTGTGTGCGCGTGTGCTCTAGAGCAGTGGTTCTCAACCTTCCTAATGCTGAGACCCTTTTAGTACAGTTCCTCATGTAGTGACCCCCAACCACAAAATTATTTTTGTTGCCACTTCATAACTGTGATTTTGCTACTGTTATGAATCGTAATGTGAATAGCTGTGTTTTCTGATGGTCTCAGACAATCCCTGGTGAAGAGTGATTTAATCCCCAGAGGGATCGCGACCTACATGTTGAGGACCACTCTCTAGAGGCTGGCTGCCCCACAGAGGGCAGAACCTGAGCTGGCCAGTGAGCACACTTTTGTCTTATGCCGGAGGCAAACAAGGATGACTCTCCCCAGTTCCTCACCGGTGGGAGATGCAGCCCAGGGCTTCAGAACCCTCCGTGCCCAGTGTATATTTAAAGCAGCATCCAGTAATACACACCCAGTGAGCGAAGGTCAGCTATCAGGAAAGGAAAGTCGCTGCAGCAATGCTCAGTGAGCACGGTCCCCAACTTTTTCTGTGGGGGTCAGGGCACTCGCCCTTAGTCGGGTAGACTGTAACAGAGTTCTCGCTGCATGGTTATAACTGCTAAATGTGTCATGGTGTGTGACTGACCACAGCTGTCCAAGGTGACTGTGAACATGACCAATCAGGTATCGGGTAGAGTGACTAGCCACCGTGTTTGATTTCTGCTGAAACACCTTCCCACTTCTTGGTCATGTCTGAGTAAACACAAGAATCAAGGACACACCTCAGCCCAGAATTCTGCGTAGATATCATTTGCTGTCAGTTTCGTAACTGGCCATAGCTTCGTCACAGAACAAAGATCGCAGGCAGTCATCATCAACCCGATTACACGGTCTCTAGAAGACAGTAGAAAACTGGTGAGTGCAGTATTTGCACTTTGTCTGGAGACCAATGGGGAACGGGGGTGCAGGCACCATCGGGAGTGAGGTTTGCCTGTGCATTACTTCCTGATGACCCAAAAAGCATTTAGAAGCAGAACCATGTAGTCTGGCAGGCACGTCAGCAACGTAGAATTAGAGGGCAGAGTGGCTTTAGTGGCGACATCAGGCCCTTCTACCACAAGTCACACAGGAGTGTGCTCCGTGCTCCTGGTGCCTCGGTATCCCTGTTTGAACAAACACAGCAGGCAGCATTCTGTTACCTTACAGACTGTCTGGTCCTCCTCAGAGCTATGGGCCAAGCTTTCATTTCACGGACTCTGCAAGTTTAATGTCACCCAAAGAGAAAACCTGCCCCATGCTTTCATCCTATATCCATAAAGTCTGAGGTGTACAAAAATGCTAAACTTCTTCAAGGGAGCAGCAGCATGACCAGGGTCAGACGAGGACTTGGGTTTACAATGGGTTTGCTTGCAGGCAGAGTCGGGTGGACCATGTTCCTCCAAGGCCATGCTGTTTAGCAAAAGCATGTTCAAACTCAGACTCTGCCAAAGCAAGTTTTCCACTTAGCTTCTTAGTATCTACAGCGATGCACAGCACATCCAACTTGCTATTTGCCTAAGCACAGCTAAATCTTTTCTCTTAAAGAAAAACAATAATTGCTTAAAAATTCCAAGAAACATATTCCCTGTGACTTTCCCGAGTCTTCTGCGGTGATTCTTAGTGTGGCGAAGTGAAGGAAGAAATTATAACGTCCTGCCCTTAACTGGAGAAAATAACAACGTTTATAAAGACCAGTCATCACCAGAGATACAGAACCGTGCCAGAGCTGAGATAGCACCAACACTTCCGGCTCACGTGTCCTCAGTGAGCCTAAAGGACACAGGGGATTTCTCCGTTAGGGACACAGCCCGGACCAATGGAGACGGTTTGTCAGGATCATCTGTCAGGGTTGCAGAGGGCTCTCACAATAGTTCTCATGACAGGTTCCCGAGTGCCACATCACAGAGTGCCGTGTGACATCGGCCCATCTCGTTTCGTTCTCTCACTGGCAGCCTGGCTTTTCAAAGGGAACATCCAGAGGGCTTGTGCCATCCGCTACAGGTCGGGGCGGATAACCGAGGGACACTCAACAATCACGTACGGCTGCCTGTCATTCCTTTCTCAATTAGTAAATGCATTAGACAGATGGAGACCATGAAAACTAGTGTTGTATTTACAAATAATTCTTCCATGAAATTGAAATAAGTCAATCTCACTCAATGAATTTTCACCAAAACCCCCCAACATTTTTATGCTAAATAGTATAATAAAGTTTAACCTGGAAAAAAAATATTTCTCATTTCAGAACTCTGTAAAAGCAATGATAACAGCACCGGGATTTGTAAAATGTGTAAACCTTTCCCACTGGAAATAACCCCACACAGAAAACTGCTGGTGTAAGGATCAGAACTGTCAGAATTATTTAGACAACACAGTGCAGAATTGTTATTTTATTGCTCACGAGGAAGTAAACAGCCTGGAAATTTGGCATGGGTCCATATTAAGTATAATTGCTGTTTTTATTCGTAATTATAAATCAGTTAGATGGTCATGACCACTCAGAAATGCCCAAATGGATGTTTTATTCTGTTCATGAATGGAATTAGACGTCAACCCTGAAAGCATTCTATGGGACAGCTGTGCCGGAGTGGGGTTTGTTTAGGAAGCACTCTGGCATGACCTCACGGTGACCTATCTTTCACCACAAACCCCAGAGTGGAAGCCCAAAGCAACTCAGAATACAATGTGCTCACAGTCCCTCGGAAACTTCAAGCACTCTGGCCCCATTCACTTCATCTAGCAGTTCTGGATCCTGCTCTGCTCTCACAGAAACTTCTTGTTGGGAAAGGCAAATAACACATGTAATTGTATCAAAAAACCTATAGGGTGGGCAAAAAACAAACCACAAAACATAGCTCATGACTAGAAAGTCACATGATATTTTTGGAAAATGACATTGTATTCTTCTTTCAAGTAAATAATTAAATGTAATATAGCTCAACTAAAATGTCGAGTGGATATTTATAATTAGAAAAATCTTTAGCAGATTACCCATTTGCTTCTGAAACATTTTCAGTGCAGGGGTGCAGGCCTGTGATGCCCTGTAACTCATTTGAAATGGCACAGTGAATCAGAAGAGGGACATACTAGTGACTTTTTAAATATCTAGGCAACAAGAGCGCACAATCGACCACGTCACTTTTCTGCCAGCCCTGAGATGTACACATAAAACATTCAGAAAAGAGAGTTACTCAGTGAATCCCTGCAGGATTCCTAAATAAATAAATGAATACATAAATGCCAAGTGGAGATTACCCTGCCGATATGTAAGATGAATTGCAGCATAATGCAGATGTGGACTGCAGTGGGGGGGTCAGATGGTTAGTGGAGATGCTTAAGGAGACCTCCCAGGTTACAAAACACTTACATATTCAACTCAGTGGGGGGAAATGAATTAGTCATTAAGTGATGCTGATTTAATACATCAAGAAGAAATAGAAATATAACTATTAATATAATAATTCAGAGCTAAATATAAAAATTGAACTAGAAAACACACACAGAAATGGATGAAGTATTTGCATTGCTGTGGGATTGGATAAGAACAAGTAACAGATGTGGCTTCATGAACTCAGGTTTCTTTGTTCCCCACAGAGAATCTGGGGCTATAGTGTCACTCTCTAATAGAGGGTTTGCCTAGCATGTATGAGGCTCTGGGCTCCATCCTCAGACCATACATACACACACACATACACACACACACACACAGAGAGAGAGAGAGAGAGAGAGAGAGAGAGAGAGAGAGAGAGAGAGGTGGGGTCTGGGAGAGAGAGAGAGAACATAATGAATATTGTAAATCACCTAAAAATATTTGTGAAGAACACAGAAGTTCGATATCACCAGCGAAAGACAGGCCAGACATGACCAGACGGCATAGCGCAGCGCACAGGGCAGTCACGGAACAGTTCTCACCCTCATGCTAGAAGATGTGTGAATTCCTAGCACGTTTGTTTTAAAACTCAATGTATGTATATTCCTAGCAATATATGCCATATATACTTATTTTTTTTTATTTCATGTGCATCCGTGTTTTGTCTGCATGTGTGTCTGTGCGCCACGTGCCTTCCTGTCACCTGCAGAGGCCAGAAAAATACACTGGCTCCCTGGTTGGGAGCGGCCATGTGGGTGCTGGGAACAAAACTCAGGTCCTCTGCAAGAGCAGCCAGGGCTCTCAACCACTGAGCCACCTCTCCAGCTCTATGCCGTGTACTTTCAAAGTTCATAGGAGAGATCACGTGAGCAAAGTTTATTGCATCATTGTTTATAACGGAAAACTCTAGAAACTGTCACCGTCAACCTGGAGAGGAACCTTTACAACTGTCTGTGTTACACGGTGTTATAGATCTTTTAAAGGGGAACGGAAAGGCGCGTAGCTGAGTATACACTGCGGGCACACTGTGACACCTCTGGAGGAACAGAATGGACAGAGGACGACATCATAGCAGGCACATGGCATCTGAGGGCAGTGGCAAGAATGCCTCTCCCTTTCCTGCGCATACTTCTTCGTCCTGAAGTGCATTAGGACAAACAAGCGTTACCTTCAAAACTGTTAACCAACACAAACTAGTCACGGCTAATTCACGCCACCAACACAGAGGCCGTATGCATCAAGCATGAAAAATAGATTTTCAATTTGATGTTTAAATTTTCTATATTAATATATTAATTTTTGAGACTATTTAGTTAAAAATAACTGAATACATCCAAGGAAAAAGTAGAAGAGTGGGTTTCTGAAACCACGCACGCTTCATGAGGGTCGGATATCCCTCTGAAGGTGCCATAAAGAGCATGCAAACCAACACCCGTCCCTGGCAGGGTTTAAGCACAAGAACTGCACACACTGTGAGCAGAGGAGACTTGAAGCACATTGCCTCTGTGAACTTCCAGGAGGCGGAGCAGGAGGAACTAGAGGTATCAATGGCCCCTTGGGAACTTTGTCAGCAATGGCTCATGTAGTCCTGGCAAGGCCTTGCTGTGTGTGAGAAAGCAGGAGGGCCTCCCCTGCAGTTCTTCCGAAAGACGGTTCCACACACCGTGTAAGTTTTGAGCCTTGCAGAATGTGGACAAGCCCTGGTGTGAAGGAAAGCCACTGCTGGCTGAGGCACCCACATCATTACAAGGATGCCCTTTACTCCGAAGAGCTGGGCTCCAGTTCTACCCATCTGCTTCACATCCGGGCATCCGAGTGAACTTCTAGACCATCCTCTAGCAAGAACTCTAAAGATCAGGTCTGGATGGAACCCAGAAGAGACAGAGGCAGAACCAGTAAGTAGCTGTCCGTGCACCTTAGGATAAAGATAGCCCCACCCAGGAGAGATTGACTGGATATAGATAATCACAACAGTGAATGTCGTGAGCGACCTGAGAACCATCCAGGCAGGAGGCAGGTGAGTGGCTCACAACACACTGGACATGAATCTGAATCCACTTTGCAAACCATCCTCTGGAGAAATGGCAGAACCACCACCAAAATGCCCATCACCCTTCACGTGTTCTCCATGGAGTGCACGCGCTCACGCAAGCACGCACGCACACACACACACACACACACACACACACACACACACACACGCCAAATTACAGTTCTTGATTCAGGCATCAGGCTCGTAGCCTTTGCCACGCCATCCTTACCGATGTGACTGGTTGTGGAGGTTCAGCGACCCTGCCTGGTACATCTCCTCCAGCTGCTTCCTGTTGCCGAAGTACAGGGCGAGGTCAGTGGCAATGATGGCTTTGCGGATGATCTCCAGCACCTGCTCGTACTCACTGGAGCTCAAGGTGGAGAAGATGTTGTGCCCTTCCAGCTACAGAGAGACCAGAGGAAAACCACCAGTGGCAGCCACACCTAGGCTCAAGGCATCGTCAGTTATTTGAAACAGTTATGGACAACAAACAATGCCAAATGTCACCGTAAGGAAAACTCGGGAAAACAAAGGGACTGTTCAGTTGTAATTGATAGAGCCATTGCTTATGTGGACCATTTTGCCCATAGGATACCACTTGCTACCACAAACCCCAAGTGACTTTACTATACCTTATTTGTGTGTGTGTGTGTGTGTGTGTGTGTGTGTGTGTGTGTGTGTGTGTGTGTGTGTGTGTGTGTATGTGTGTTTATAGTGATGAGGCTAGGAAATATACTGAAGTTACCAGCAGCTTTTTCTTTGGGGCCAGTTAACTGCAGTCATTTCATGCTGTACTGAAACTCATGCTTAGAAAACCATCTATATCCTCAACCACTTCAGGTCCCACTGTAAATGGCAAACCACTTTCCTGTAGCTTATGAGATGTAGACACATTAGGCACAGTCACTGAAGGTCCAGGAATGTCCAATTGAAAGAGAAAAACTTCAAGAGGCAAAAAAAAAAAAGAACCCCAAGAGGTACAAACACTGAGGTACTTGGCGATAACTAAAAGGGGTGCAAGTCTGTGCCCCCAGGCTATGTGGGGGTGTCATAAGATGATATTACCAGAGAAGGATGCCTACACCAAGCCAGAAAAACAGGACGCCCTGGCTGCAGCAGAGGGTATAATTTGGGTTTACAGATGGGTGGCAGACACTGTGGCTCTACCATAGTAGAAGCCATCCACAAAAGACTTGGGCATCAAGTGGAAGCCAGGAAAGTAGAAAGGGACCATTGGTGGGGGGATTTACTCATGGAAGACGGGAGAGCAGACTGTGGATTAAACAGAAGTAGAGAGGTGGGGTGCTGGGGGTGCAAAGGCTTAAGCTTGGGGGAACGCAAGAGTATGGAAGAAGTTAAAGGGTAGCCCAAAGGAGAGTATGATCGTCTGAATGAAAATGGTCCCCAAAGGCTCATAGAGAGTGGCATCGGGAGGTGTGATGTTGTTGGAGTAGGTGTGGCCTTGTTGGAGGAAGTGTGTCACTGGAGGTGGGCTTTAGGGTTTCAGGAAGTCCAAGGCAGGCTCAGTGTCTCTGTCTCTGTCTCTCTCTGTCTCTCTCTCTCTTTTTCTCTCCCCCCTCCTCCTTCCCTCCCTCCCTCCTGCTGCCTGTGGATCCAGATGTAGAACTCTCGGCTGCCTCTCCAGCACCAAGTCTGCCTACACACTGCCATGTTTCCTGCCATGATGCTAACGGGCTAAACTTTTGAAACTGTAAGCGGGCCCCAGTTAAATGCTTTCTTTTATAAGAGTTGCTATGGTCATGGTGTCTCCCCACAGCAATAGAACTTTGACTAAGACAGAAAAGCACATGAAAACCTATTATTTCACAATATAACTGAAAATGTAAGGGAAGGGATGAGAGGAGAGTGAGGAATACTGGGGGTGTGGAGGATGAGGAGAAGGGGGGAAGGGTAGCAGGTGGGTTAACCTAAGCCTTATGGAAACCCAAGAATTAGAAAGCTAACTCCAAAATACAACTTTTAAAAAAGAGTTCAAATAGAGGCATTCTGCATGGGTGGGCAAGGCCATTCCCAGAAGTCATGGACTATGAAATAAAACCACACTGCCAGGTGTGGGATACCTCCCTACAAGTTATTTTGGTCAGAGAGGCCTCAGAGGTCTCCAAAACAACAGCTAGCACTGTTGGTCACCCACATAACGAGCCCGTAAGATCCTGGTGCTGAAGACACCATGCACTGGCTATGGGCTATACAGAAACCAAGCTTGGGTGATAACATCCTAAAAACTACTTGCAAAAAGCATAAGCTAGCGCAGGATCCTGCAGCTGCCGAGTGCCTGCAGAGTCCCTTGTGGAGCCCCCCCTCCTCCCCTCAGACACTGCAGCTTGGCACCTCACCTGCAGGATAGACACTGTCTGGGAGAAGTGGTGCTGCTCCATGGTGGAGGTGGAGTACAGTGCGGCCAGGGGGTGGTCAAATTTCTGCAGGTAGCTGTTACTGAAGCCCCTGTGGTCCAGGTCGTGACACAGACATGCAATTAGCAGGCCTTTGCGCTTGAAGAGAGAACAGAATGTAGACATGTTTTAAAACATGGCGAGGAGACACCTGGAGACTCACGGCTTACATTCACATCATATTCATTTCTGCCACTGATATATCCAAAGTCACAGGAGTCCTTGAAATCACAAACTTTTTTGGAACCCCGTTCTTTGTTGTTCTGCATGTGAACTTGACAAGCCAATGAGTTTTCCTCTTTAACTCTGGAGTAGGGGCAAGGGGTACCAGATGCACCAAAGCCTTATGGGCAAGCTCAGCCATGCATGCAGCAGGCAGCTTGGGTGCTCCTGGCTCTAACAAGGCCACTGCTTTTCTCAGCCAACACAGACAACGTGCAAACAGAAGACATGTGAAAACAGCACACTACACTGGAGTAAGAAAAATGCTGTGGAGCCAAAGGGAGGCAAGCCTGCACTAAAGAGAGCAGTCTGGGCCAGACACAGCAAGAGCCAGACACCAACAGAGACCTGTGAGAAGAAGGGAGGAGGCAAGACGGTGTTTGAGAAGATCACGGTAGAAGAGCACACCTGAGCAAGGTCAGGAGCAGGCTGGAGACCTAGGGCGGGGTACAGCAGTGTCTGCATCTAACTGGCAGTTTCAGAAAACTGTCTAGTGGTGGGTAAGGCATTCTCTGGGAGGGTTTGCAGTAATCACGGGAAGGCCAAGGAGGGTGAGAGCAGGACATTGACAGAAGTGTGAAAGGTGTGAGCAAAGTCTGAACGCGGTTCGCAGGCACTCCAGTGGGCTCCCTTGACTGGCTGTGAAAAGCAAGGTGAGCAAGGTCAAGTGTGATCCTTATTAAGGACACCAGCAGCAGGTGTGGGAAATCCTGCAGGTGGCGCAGGTGAGTAGACCATCAGGGTCCGGGTCAAGAGTGACATGAAACTCTTAAGTGATGGGCAAGGGGAAACTGGGTGGGCAGCTGCTTGAGCCTCAAACTGGCCTTGCGTGGAGAAAGGAAATGGTGGAATTCGCCAAAGCCCTGTGAGAACAGAGGAAGGCGAAATTCTGAGCAATCATGAACTCCAATTCTAAGGAGCCTGAGGAAAGAGGTTCCCAAAGCAATTTGAGGGAGGAGTGGCCACTGTGGCCCCAGGAAAGCTGTGACTGCAAAAGGAGTTAAGTGGAAAAAATGTTGAAAGTCTCCCCAACTAGAATACAAATTTCAACGGAAGAAAAGATTATTCATATGAACAAAAAGCATATTTCATTTGAATCTTTGGGAGGAAGTCAATAATATATTGTTAAATTCTGCTACAACTAAAGATTACTTTAGAAAACAAATAAGCAACAACCAAGAATAGAGTTTGTTCCTCTGTATGCCTGTGCATGTGACTATAGTATGTATGCATGGGGTGGGGGGACACACATTTGTGTCAATGTGAAGGCTAGGGAAGGACACTGGATGCCCTGCTCTATTGCCTCTTGCTTTATTTCTTTGTGACAGGGTCTCTCAGTGAACTTGGAGCTGCGCTGGTAGCCAGGAAACCCCAGCAATACCCATCTCTGTCTCCCACAGTGCTGGGTTAAATGGCACACGGCCATACCCACAGCTTGTGTGGGTGCCGGGATCTAAATCAGGCCCTCAGGCTCCCACAGTCAACTCTCACCCACTGAACCACCTTTCCAGCCCCACTTTTTACTAGGTTTGAGGTGGTACTTTTCTCCACTTCTGGAATCCACCTTCCATGATTTCTGTTTCAACTATGACTTTGGTCTGACAGGGTGGCAAGGGCACAGGGTGAATCTATTTTGAGTGTGACCTTGGAGAAAGTAAAATGTATTATGTTAGAGGTGAGGGTGCTGTCCTTTGCAGTCAGAAGTGTGACACAGCTTTACAGGGAGAAAAGAGGCCTGGGTTTGTGGTGTCAGGGACACCACCAGGCTGGGAGCTCAAAGGGACGTGCTCAAAGTCTGGTTGTCTAATGGGCTCAGCATCACTGGTGCTCGGACACTAATCCCCACCACTCAGCACTTGGCTGGTAGTGTGCGACGGTAGCTGAATGAATGAGGAGGTTCCAACCTTTCTGACTCTGGAATTGTGAAACCTTCCAGTATGGCATTGGCTCTGGGTATGTGGAGCCTGGGGAACTAGCTGTGTACCTCAAAGACAGTTCCCAAATGGAACTAATGTCTTCACTAGTATATACTAAGTGTTCGGTGTTCTCAAATCATCCAGATAAGTCTATGTTTTCCAGGGCACAGGGGCAACAAGAAAAATTCACTCTAGATGGGTGGTGGTAGTGCACGCCTTTAATTCTAGCACTCGGGAGGAAAAGGGGGGCGGATCTGTAAATTCAAGGCCAGGCTAGTCTACAAATCCAGTTCCATGACAGCCAGGACTACACAGAGAAACCCTGTGTCTCGAAAAACAAAAACATAAACAAAAAAGAAAGAAAGAAAAGAAAAATTTATTCAGTTAAATACATGCAGGGCCTATCAGCTTTAATAAGGAAGAATGGACACACACACACACACACACACACACACACACACACACACACATACACACACACACACACACACACACACACACACACACACACACACACACCTCTCCCTGGGGGTATTTGGGTACAGTTGAAGTTTCTAGATCAGCATTTCCAATAAAGTGTGATTTATGTCTGGGTACTGGCACTAAGTTCATGCCATACAAGCACTTTGACTTAGTCACTGTATCACTGAGGTTTTCGGTTAGGAGGATGTGCACACCCACCTCGAGGTCTGTAAAGAGGCCATAGTTGTTTTGAAGTATGGCATACATGCAGTGTGCCACCGTGACTGCATGTTTCCAGTTGTGGTAAGGAACCCGTCGATAGTTCTTCTTCACAGACATGATAAAACGACATAATTTTTCAAGTTCAAAGCTGTATGGAAAGGAGACGGTTAGGACTATGATGAGGCCAGCACAGCACCACGCATTTCAGGAGAGCATCTCGCTGAGGTGTGCACTGTCTGCTCCCTCACACACCTGCAGGTTTCCTCACACACATCTAGGACTCCTCACATACATCTGGGCTTCCTCACATACCTGTAGGCTCCTTCACACACCCGTGGACACCCTCAGACACCTGTGGATTCCCTCGCACACCTGTAGGCTCTCCCATACATCTATGGATTACCTCACACATCATCTTCTTTACACACCCATAGATTCCCTCAGGTACCTGTGGACTCCTTCAAACACATCTGGGCTCCCTCACACATCTTTGGACACCCTCATACACCTGTGGATTCCCTCAGACACCTGTGGATTTCCTCACACACCTGTGGGCTCCCTCACACACACACCTGTGGGCTCCCTCACACACACACCTGTGGGCTCCCTCACACACCTGTGGGCTCCCTCACACACACACCTGTGGGCTCCCTCACACACACACCTGTAGGCTCCCTCACAGGCCTGTGGGCTCCCTCACACACCTGTGGGCTCCCTCACACACACCTGTGGGCTCTCTCACACACACACCTGTGGGCTCCCTCACACACACACCTGTGGGCTCTCTCACACACACACCTGTGGGCTCCCTCACACACACCTGTGGGCTCCCTCACACACACCTGTGGGCTCCCTCACACACACACCTGTAGACTCCCTCACACACACCTGTAGACTCCCTCACACATCTGTGGACTCCCTCACACACACCTGTGGGCTCCCTCACACACCTGTGGGCTCCCTCACACACCTGTGGGCTCCCTCACACACACACCTGTGGGCTCCCTCACACACACACCTGTGGGCTCCCTCACACACACTTGCGGGCTCCCTCACACACCTGTGGGCTCCCTCACACACCTCTGGGCTCCCTCACACACACACCTCTGGGCTCCCTCACACACACTTGTGGGCTCCCTCACACACACTTGCGGGCTCCCTCACACACCTGTGGGCTCCCTCACACACCTATGGGCTCCCTCACACACCTGTGGGCTCCCTCACACACACACCTGTGGGCTCCCTCACACACCTATGGGCTCCCTCACACACACACCTGTGGGCTCCCTCACACACACACACACCTGTGGGCTCCCTCACACACACTTGTGGGCTCCCTCACACACACACCTGTGGGCTCCCTCACACACCTATGGGCTCCCTCACACACCTGTGGGCTCCCTCACACACACACCTGTGGGCTCCCTCACACACACTTGCGGGCTCCCTCACACACCTGTGGGCTCCCTCACACACCTGTGGGCTCCCTCACACACACACCTCTGGGCTCCCTCACACACACTTGTGGGCTCCCTCACACACACTTGCGGGCTCCCTCACACACCTGTGGGCTCCCTCACACACCTATGGGCTCCCTCACACACACACCTGTGGGCTCCCTCATACACACACCTCTTGGCTCCCTCACACACCTGTGGGCTCCCTCACACACACACCTGTGGGCTCCCTCACACACACACCTGTGGGCTCCCTCACACACACTTGCGGGCTCCCTCACACACCTGTGGGCTCCCTCACACACCTCTGGGCTCCCTCACACACACACCTCTGGGCTCCCTCACACACACTTGTGGGCTCCCTCACACACACTTGCGGGCTCCCTCACACACCTGTGGGCTCCCTCACACACCTATGGGCTCCCTCACACACACACCTGTGGGCTCCCTCATACACACACCTCTTGGCTCCCTCACACACCTGTGGGCTCCCTCATACACACACCTCTGGGCTCTCTCACACACCTGTGGGCTCCCTCACACACACCTGTGGGCTCCCTCACACACACTTGTGGGCTCCCTCACACACCTGTGGGCTCCCTCACACACACTTGCGGGCTCCCTCACACACCTGTGGGCTCCCTCACACACCTGTGGGCTCCCTCACACACACACCTCTGGGCTCCCTCACACACACTTGTGGGCTCCCTCACACACACTTGCGGGCTCCCTCACACACCTGTGGGCTCCCTCACACACCTATGGGCTCCCTCACACACACACCTGTGGGCTCCCTCATACACACACCTCTTGGCTCCCTCACACACCTGTGGGCTCCCTCACACACACACCTGTGGGCTCCCTCACACACACACCTGTGGGCTCCCTCACACACACTTGCGGGCTCCCTCACACACCTGTGGGCTCCCTCACACACCTCTGGGCTCCCTCACACACACACCTCTGGGCTCCCTCACACACACTTGTGGGCTCCCTCACACACACTTGCGGGCTCCCTCACACACCTGTGGGCTCCCTCACACACCTATGGGCTCCCTCACACACACACCTGTGGGCTCCCTCATACACACACCTCTTGGCTCCCTCACACACCTGTGGGCTCCCTCACACACACACCTGTGGGCTCCCTCACACACACACCTGTGGGCTCCCTCACACACACTTGCGGGCTCCCTCACACACCTGTGGGCTCCCTCACACACCTCTGGGCTCCCTCACACACACACCTCTGGGCTCCCTCACACACACTTGTGGGCTCCCTCACACACACTTGCGGGCTCCCTCACACACCTGTGGGCTCCCTCACACACCTATGGGCTCCCTCACACACACACCTGTGGGCTCCCTCATACACACACCTCTTGGCTCCCTCACACACCTGTGGGCTCCCTCATACACACACCTCTGGGCTCTCTCACACACCTGTGGGCTCCCTCACACACACCTGTGGGCTCCCTCACACACACTTGTGGGCTCCCTCACACACCTGTGGGCTCCCTCACACACACTTGCGGGCTCCCTCACACACCTGTGGGCTCCCTCACACACCTGTGGGCTCCCTCACACACACACCTCTGGGCTCCCTCACACACACTTGTGGGCTCCCTCACACACACTTGCGGGCTCCCTCACACACCTGTGGGCTCCCTCACACACCTATGGGCTCCCTCACACACACACCTGTGGGCTCCCTCATACACACACCTCTTGGCTCCCTCACACACCTGTGGGCTCCCTCACACACACACCTGTGGGCTCCCTCACACACACACCTGTGGGCTCCCTCACACACACTTGCGGGCTCCCTCACACACCTGTGGGCTCCCTCACACACCTCTGGGCTCCCTCACACACACACCTCTGGGCTCCCTCACACACACTTGTGGGCTCCCTCACACACACTTGCGGGCTCCCTCACACACCTGTGGGCTCCCTCACACACCTATGGGCTCCCTCACACACACACCTGTGGGCTCCCTCATACACACACCTCTTGGCTCCCTCACACACCTGTGGGCTCCCTCATACACACACCTCTGGGCTCTCTCACACACCTGTGGGCTCCCTCACACACCTGTGGGCTCCCTCACACACACTTGTGGGCTCCCTCACACACCTGTGGGCTCCCTCACACACACACCTGTGGGCTCCCTCACACACCTGTGGGCTCCCTCATACACACACCTCTGGGCTCTCTCACACACCTGTGGGCTCCCTCACACACCTGTGGGCTCCCTCACACACACTTGTGGGCTCCCTCACACACCTGTGGGCTCCCTCACACACCTGTGGGCTCCCTCACACACACTTGTGGGCTCCCTCACACACCTGTGGGCTCCCTCACACACACACCTGTGGGCTCCCTCATACACACACCTCTGGGCTCCCTCACACACACTTGCAGGCTCTCTCTCACACACCTGTGGACTTCCTCACACACCTGTGGACTCCCTCACACTCCTGTGGACTCCCTCACACACCTGTGGACTCCCTCACACACACCTCTGGGCTCCCTCACACACACCTCTGGGCTCCCTCACACACACCTCTGGGCTCCCTCACACACACTTGTGGGCTCCCTCACACACACTTGCGGGCTTCCTCACACACCTGTGGGCTCCCTCACACACACCTGTGGGCTCCCTCACACACCTGTGGGCTCCCTCACACACCTGTGGACTCCCTCCTGGCCAACCACAGCTCTGTAGCCGCTCCCTCTCCTTGTTCCTTCTGTAGCCAGAAAGCAGCAAAAGAACCAAGACCCACCCGGACAGCTCCACTCAGCCAGTCAGCGTGCAGTCTACCCTCTTACCCTCTACGGGCTCCTTGCACTTAGGAGCATTTCCTGTGCTCCAGAGAGCTCAGCCAGCCACATACAGCATCCTCCCGGCCAAAGGCAACCTCAGCTAAGAACTTCTAGGAGGCGTGCTCAGATCCACAAATGCCAAGCACATATTACAATACTCTCTGCACCCGGCTACACTTTCAGAATGAATCCAAGGCATTGAGGTACACTCATGATGCAAGTGGAAAGCAGCCACACCCAAATCTATTCACACAGTACATGGAGGAGGAGGACACCGATCTATTGTTCACTGTCACTGGATTATTATTATTTTTCTTAAATGAGACCCTACCCCTCTCAAAATACGTTTAAGGCAGATTAAAAGACTAAGAGTTCATAAAACTTGGAGTACGCACAGCTTGTGTGTCCCTCACTGAAAACTTTCACTGACCCTGAAGTAAAAGGTCTGTCGTCCTCTTACGACTTCCAGCCAAACCCTCAACTGTCTACACAGCAACCAGAGCTGCTGGTCCCGCGTTCACTACTGATAAAAGTAGAGAAGACACAGAGCTCAAGAAGACGGACCGTGTCGTTCCAGAGAAACCAAAAGACTCTCACCTGGCTGAGTGCAAAGCATAAATATGTTGTAAATGAGCAAATACGGCCCTTGCATTTTCAGCCTCTGGGAGTGAGATACAAACCATCACACACAAAGTCACAGACCCACATTGGCCAGGACAGTTGGAGAGAGTAACAGCCTGTGGTCACTGCCACATTCCCTGAGAGACTTTTCCTTTGTGCCTAGCCTAACAGATACAGATGGGACCCCAAGTGGATGCTACAGGCATGCGTATGGTCCAATGGCACTGCTCTAAGGGTGGGTCCCGCCTCTTCCACTGCATGGCCTACATGACATTAAAAGTCATTTGGGATGTGTGACAGAGTGTAAGAAATGCCAGCATTACATTTTAGGTTACCCATTTCCAAGACAAAAACCTAGACAGTTGTCTTGCTATGGCTCCAGCCCAAGTGGCCAAGAAGTCGGCAGTCCCTGGAGCATTTGGAAAAGCTGCATAGTTGTCCAACAAGCTCAGCTGATTTTTATTGGAATGTTTATTAAAATGTTATATTTTACCGTAACTATACAAAGAACCTTGTTGGGTACAAGTGTGCAAAGGAATCACAAGTGTTCAAAAGGAATCACACAGGCCGCTCATACCAGGATGTCCCACAAGACTGATGGATCATGTAGACAAAGATCCCAGGCCACATGTTCTCGAAAGGACCGATGTCAAAGTGGAATCTGAAATGAGAGGAGTGGATCATCAGGTGCAATTAGGATGAGCATGGCTGACATGAAAATCGATACACCCCTTATCTATCCCAGTCCTCAAAGGCATGGATGGTCTGTCCCTGCCCCTGCCTTCCCTGCAACCCCTGACTGAAGGGAAGGGTTCCTGCAGGACTCTACAGAGTCATCTGTTCAAACAGCAGACACAGGTGTCATTCCGGTCATCAACACTAACATATACACATAGCACACCATCCAGGGCACACGGGTGTCATCAGGGTCATCAACACTAACATGTACACACAGCACACCGTCCAGGGGACATGGGTGTCATCAGGGTCATCAACACTAACATATACACACAGCACACCGTCCAGGGGACACGGGTATCATCGGGGTCGTCAACACTAACATGTATACACAGCACACCATCCAGGGGACACGGGTGTCATCAGGGTCGTCAACACTAACATATACACACAGCACACCGTCCAGGGGACACGGGTATCATCGGGGTCGTCAACACTAACATGTATACACAGCACACCATCCAGGGGACACGGGTGTCATCAGGGTCGTCAACACTAACATGTATACACAGCACACCATCCAGGGGACACGGGTGTCATCGGGGTCATCAACACTAACATATACACACAGCACACCATCCAGGGGACACGGGTGTCATCGGGGTCATCAACACTAACATATACACACAGCACACCATCCAGGGGACACGGGTGTCATCGGGGTCATCAACACTAACATGTATACACAGCACACTGTCCAGGGGACACGGGTGTCATCGGGGTCATCAACACTAACATATATACACAGCACACCATCCAGGGCACACGGGGGTCATCGGGGTCATCAACACTAACATGTACACAAAGCACACTGTCCAGGGCACATGGGTGTCATCAGGGTCATCAACACTAACATATACACACAGCACACCGTCCAGGGCACACAGGTGTCATTGGGGTCATCAACACTAACATATACACACAGCACACCGTCCAGGGGACCTCATCAAAAATAGCCTTCCATCTAAGCTGAAACATGAATAACTGTAACTCCTGAAGTTACCATACCAGTAACTGTGTTCTCGTTTACTAATGTAATTACTTACCCCCGGCCAGAATGGGTAGTGGCAAAGGGGTGTGTTTCCAAATATAAGGCAAATGCCAGCGTGGGGACAGGGTGGCTGCCACAGGCATACCGTTGCCACAAGGCCCTGCCTCTCCAGACTGAAGTATGTTAGCCAAGCTCTGGCAAACAGGAGCACAAAGAGGGAATCAATTATCACTAAATTCTTTCATTTATCTTGGAAATTGAGATCTGGGTGTAACATTAAAAGTCATTTGGAATATGCAATAGAGTAATAAAAATATGCCAGCATTTAGGTGACTGGTTACAAATTTAGTTCCCTGACAAGGACTCACTAGACCCCCCTGGCTGGCCTTGAGCTCTGAGTCCCTACTGCCTCAGCTTCCCAAGCACTACCATCGCAGGCTTGGGCCACCACACGGGGCTTCCGTTTTAGTTTGTTATTTACGGCAAGCAGAAGGAGCCACACGTGAAACCACAGTAACTATGGTTCTGACTCCACGGTCAGTTTTGCTTTAGTTCCTCCAGGGAAAATGGCACGAGATGCTCACAGCTCGATCTCTCGGGAGATGCGCGCCGGCAGGTGGAAACGCATCAGGCCTTGCCACTCCTCTGAGGTGCAGATGCTGTGGTAAGACAGCTTCTCCATGGTAACCCTGTAGATGCACTCTGAGTGGCGGATCCTGTGGTACATCTGCAAGGCAAGAGGAAAGGGAATGGGGGACCAGTTAGGACAATATGGACAGCACTCTGGCACTGGAGTTCAGACTTGGGATGAGAGCTATGGCTGAAATTTGATAGACTCCCTGTTGCTCGCAGTCGAGACACACGGGAGCTGTGCACACAGACAACCTTGAAGAGACAGCACTCATCTGGGTTCCGTCTTCCTTAACAAATATCCTCTTACCCCATGTCACCTCAGGGAGAGAAATCACTGCCTGTCTTTTCTATAATGCCCTATACTATATTTCCACTTAAGTAACAAAAGAGTTAAAAATAAAATGTGTGTGTATTATCAGTGAGTGAATGACTAAGACCTATGGCACTTCTATATCTGTTAAAACAAACACTTTGATAATTACATGTCACCCAGAACATCAAACTGGCTTCCTTGGGAGGATTTCCTTTCTTTCTCTGATTTAATTGTATTTTTTTCCTTTCCTAAGTGAATTTGGGGTTTTCCAGCATTACAGCAATGAATCCAAATGTGTGACGGATTTCTACACTGTCCAGTATTGTGCCCATGGAGCAGGCACACGAAGCAGTGACAACGATGACAGACAGTTGAGGGTTTAGCATATAGCTAGTGGTGAGTGCCTGCCCAGCAGGTGCAGGGGCCTCATCTGGAGAGAGGGGGTGGGGAGGGGACCTACTTGAAAATAAAGAGGTGTGGTTTATTGTCCTACTGAATTAGTAAGACCATGTATACTTGTATGCATGTAAATATAGTTTTGCAATTATACACGAATATGTGAGATAAAAATTTAAAAAGCAATGGAGCCAGTAAAAAGACCAATGTTTACATGTGTGAACTAGTAACTATGTAAGATTAATTTGGAGAGAAACTATAGGGGGGGGAAAACGGGCCCTTTATAAAAACTAATGTGTGTGATTAGTAGCTTCTCCCATAGTTCACACTGTGTTGTGACATCAGTATAGTACAGCTTGTTTTCTACATGCAAGATTATGTTCATCATCTATGTCATGATATGAATGACACATGCATTCTTGATATGCATCAAGAATCAAGATGTCGCCGGGTGGTGGTGGCACACAACTTTAATCCCAGCACTCAGGAGGCAGAGCCAGGTGGATCTCTGTGAGTTCGAGGCCAGCCTGGACTACCAAGTGAGTTCCAGGAAAGGCGCAAAGCTACACAGAGAAAGCCTGTCTCGAAAAACCAAAAAAAAAAAAAAATCAAGGTGTCTTTTATATCATCGAAAACTATTTGTCACAGTTCTTAGCAATGTCTGCTAGACCACACAGCTTTGGAAACTATGGACTGTGACACCCTATAGGGTCAAATAACTGAGTGTAGCTGTAACACACAATTGTAACAGACAACAACAACATAATTCATTACGAAGCAAAGGCACCACGAATCTGGGGTGTTTGTTAACGACTTTGCCTGGGAGCCTCACACACCTTCACTGCAGCCTTGGTTCTGGACAAAGTACATACTTTGCTATGTGCATGATGGTGTACCTACCTGCTCTTATAGAAACATGGTAGTTTAATTACGGGAAGAAAAGACAATGTTTGAGGCATCATTTCAGTGTGTAACTATCATATTAGCATACTTTGGGTTGGGTTGTGTGAAGACTGCTGTTTGAGTTACTGACAAGTTTCATTTTTAAAAGAATTACTGAATTACTTTTGGCTTGTGGTTAGTGTAGAATTCTCAACAATTTCTGAGATGGTTCTGAACATACTTCTGTCATTTTGTTTCACATAATCTACAGTGTCCTCCCGTGCCTAGGCTACCACTGAGAGTAGCATCTATGTGAGATCATAGACACTTGAACACAGCCAGACTTCCTCCCATCCCCAGCTCCCACTGAGACCTGTGTTAGATCATAGACACATGGCCCCAGGACCCTCTTCCCAGGCTTAGATTGGCCTCAGCAGCACTTGTCTGAGGCCACATACCCACAACTCTGTCTAGGTCCTTACCCATCCTTAAGTTCCTATCATGAACTGAAAGAACTTGTACTGTCAAGGTACCTGTAAGAGACTGGTGATCCCAGGCCTTGCCCATCAAGTAACCTGAGAACTTTCTGCACATAAAACAGCTAGCCTAGCTAGGATCACCCAAGCTATTCCAACCATAAATCAGCACTGACTGTTCCATGACTAAGCTCTGAGTACCACTTCATAGACTCTATCCCAGCTAAGACATGGTAACACCAAAGTCAGACCAAAATGTCCATTCATTGCAAGTGGACCAGCAATTTAGGCCAAAGATGTAATTGACCAGCTCTAGATGCATAAATCACAACACAAAATGTAACAGCAAAAAATAAGGCAATATGTCTGCCCCTAAAACTACCAACCCCATCTTAATGGTCCCTAATGAAAACCACTTGGAATAAATTACAAAGAATAAAAAACCCCAACAATTATAAATATGTCCATGAATTCAATGAGGACATAAATGTCTAAATGAATCTAAAGAGGACAGGAATAAATCCCTGCATGAATTCCAATAGAATACAAGCAAACAGCTTTGTGAAATAAGGAAGTAGATTTGGGATGCAAAATTAGAATTCAATAAAGGGAGAAATACTGCAGAAAAATAAAAGTGAAATGAAGCTGGAAATGAAACACTCAATAAGCCAATCAGAGGCTCCATGGGAGCCTCGATAACATCACAGCTTGTGTGCAGCACAGACTGTGAATCCTGGAGACAAGGGAAAGGGGTCGGGTTACTCAGTCAAGGAAAACAATAAAGAGAAAATAAAGAACACATAACGGAACAGGCGAGATACTTGGGACACCACGAAAAGATCGAACCTAGGAATCATGGGTATAGATGAAAGAGAAGAACTCCATGCCAAAGGCACAGAAAATATTTTCAATAAAATAAGAAAAGAAAAATCTCCAAATCTAGATAATAAGCTATCCATCCAGGTATGTGAGGCTCACAGAACACTAAAAGGACAGGGCCAGGGAAGTACCTGCCCATGCTGCATTAGAGTCAAAACTAAACACACAGAATGAGAAAAAACAGCACGAGAGAGAGAGAGAGAGAGAGAGAGAGAGAGAGAGAGAGAGAGAGAGAGGGAGGGAAGGAGGGAGGGAGGGAGACAGAGACAGACAGAGAGACAGAGAGAGACAGAGACAGAGAGAGAGAGAACTACACACAAAGGCAGGTCCGTCAGGTGTCTATTTCAAAGTATTCTGCCTGTGGCGTGACTTTCTTTGGATCAACTCTGCATTTTCTCATTGGTGCTTGTAGCAGCAGAAACTTCTGAAATGTTGCTTATTCCTTTAAATACTATCTTCTAAGTGTGAAAATTTGGCACATTTACCAGGAGAGGGCAGCACATTTGAAAGATGTCTTTTTGTCAAGGAAATGTATGGATGATGGAGAAATTCAACACATGCTCCAGGTACCATGCACAAACTGCAGACCCACAGGCAGCAGGAAGCCCATGGGAAAGTCGCCTCACCAAGGCTGATGAGAGCTTGCAAACAGTGTCTGAACAGGACAGGGTTGTGCAACATGTGAGCTTTATGAGGTATAAGGCCACAACACAGTAGTTACAAATAATATCGGTCCCTTGAACACAACATCATTCGATTCTCAAACTCCTGTTTCTGCCGCTGTCTCTTACAAGCTGGTGACCTGCAATTTGGTTGAAGATTTCTGTCATCTTTTTCAATTATAAAGTTATAATGCAAATACACTAAAGTGTATAACTTTATTTAAATTTATGCATGTATTTTTATCATATTATGTTGTGCTTACTCTAAAATTAATCACAACATAAATTAGTTTAATTTCATGCAAAAAAAAAAGTTTTGGAAATTTTACTCATTTTTCATTTGGTAAATAACCTTCAATGTGAACATCAGCAAATTATACAATCTAGGATCTCACTGTACACCAAGGAAGGCAGACAATTATACGACTCTTCAGCTCTTCATCAGTTATCTACATACGATACTTGGGAATTCATCTTGGACTCTGTATTAGCAGAAGAGACGTTTAGAAGAAGTAACTGCTGCTGATCCACCACTGATGTCTGTGCAGGTGACCTATCGGCAGTGGGACAGGGAAAGGGCACAGGTCCTCAGGATCCCAACATGAAGACACCCTGAGAACGTGAGTGTGGCCTCCCTCTACCATAAACTAAAAACACACCCTTTATGTTCATCAAATGGAACCTGCCCTCTTAGCAGATAGAAACCATTGACTAGTTGCTGTTCAGAGGTACCTGTCTGTATACTAAATTTTCATGACAGTCCTGTGGCGCTCATAGATGGGGTACTTGAGAGGTAGCAAGTCTTTAATGCTCACAGTAGACACCTAGTCACTTCAGGGTGGAGCAGTTCTCAAGGATGTAGACTCTGGAGTCATCTCCCTGAGTTGAATCTCTTTGCCATGAACTAACTTCAGGCATGTAGGCAGATTTCCTAATTATTTTAACCCAGGTCCCCATCTGTGGAGTGAGCACACTGTAGTGACCAATCGTGGGGGTATAAAGGACTGATGCCACTGGCTGATGACAGCTCGGGTCTTAGAGCTAGAAGCTGTTAAGATTTTGTGCTGGTCTCCGATGCCACTCCCCATGACTGCTGCACCTTCCTCTAATGCTGGTCAAGAAAAGCCTGGCCACTCCTGAGTGACAGGGGTGCCCTGTACTGTCATGCAGGAGCCAACCGAGCCTCCCCTTCCTGTCTAACACTTCCTGTGGGCAACCTACACCTGCCAGCAGTGGGGAAACGCACAACAGAAATCAGGAAACACTGAGGACCCTCTCCCAGTGATCTAATCTTCATTTTAAATGATAGCAAAATAACTTCTTAAAATAGGTATTTTCAGCATGTTATTTTTCAGTAGCATTAAATGATACCACTAATAATATGAAATGGATTCTCTACACAAATCTTAAGACCAAACATTCACTGTACAGAATGAGAAACCTGTGCTATAGCAGGCCGAAGGAACCCCACACCAGCAGAGGTGGCTGTGGGGCTCTGGGAATGAAGTCTCCAGCGGAACATGTGACTTGGGAGAGGAGCTGCCGCTGCATGGAGCTCGAGATGCACGACTGTCCTCGTGCAGTGAGGGCGTGGAGACCAGGACAGAACAAGAGGAAGCTGGAGTTCGGAGCTTTATGCTACTCACGTATACAGGAATTTCAAATGGGCTCCAAACAGTAAGAGCCTGGGACACACGCAAGAATAATTAAGCAGTCCTGGGTGCAGAATGCCCACAGGCAATTATCCAAGATAAACTGGAGTAAGCATATGGATGGAAGAATGAATAAGAAATAGAGGAAGTAAGGAGACAACCCAAGGAGGGATGCTTGCCCTGGGAACTGAGAGACTTAAAGATGCTGCCCCAAACCACAGAAGCTGGTGTTTCCTCCTACAGCTCACCTTCTAGTTCACGGCCATGGCCACAGCACAAAGTCATTCAAACGGGATACGTCTTTCTTTTCAAGAGAGCTACATCTTCACCCTGGGCTAGAGGACCTGAAATTTCTTTCCCAAAGACAGACCCCAGCACACACTTTGCGTAGCATCAGAAAGAGTTCCTCTTCTGCTCAGACTGGATAGGGCACGTGGGAGGACTTTCTCCAAACCCTTCCCTTGATTTGAAACCAAGACAAAGCATAAATACGGTGGGAACTGGTGACTTGCCACCTGGGAGTGTACAGTTTTGTCTCAGAATGGGTATCAACAGTCCCTCTGCAATCTTTCTCGTGATATTTTCCAGCAAGTCCTGGATCTCAGCCTCCACCTTCACAAGAGGCAGCTTAGCCGATGCAGACTCTCCGGCTGTCCACTAAAGAATGAACTGGGATTTCATAGAACTGTCTACGCTGAGACCTCACAAGATGCAGTATCAGAACCAATTAGACTAGAAAGCCAAGGGAGAAGACCGCATCTGCCGAAGACTAAGAGCCCAGACGTTGTCATCTACAGCCCTGATGCCGCCTGCTGAGGAGACCGACGCTCAGAGGCATTGGCTAACTTAACTGAGGCTTTAAAAAGCTGCAAAGCCACAAAGCAAGCATTGAAGTGGACATCCGCCTCATCTTGAGTGACAGCACGCACTGAGAATTCAGAAACTGGTCAGGGAATGACAGTCGGGGCACAGAGAAGGACACTGGGAGGAAAGGCCACGTCCACTACCAAATGTGCACTTTGGAAACCCCTTGCAGACCAACTAAGGAATGGAAAACTATCCTACATTCAGTACTGGATGACATTACCATACATCTGTGTGTACCTATGGGATATACATTCACCTAGGCTTCAAGGGCTAGTGACTCGACCTATATATAAATACACAGGATGGATCATTATCCAGACTTTGGAGTCTACTGACTCTTCACACACACACACACACGGGGGGGGGGGGGGGGGGGGCACGGGGGGCATGTTCATTTCCCAAGCTTCAGGGGCTGGCGAATGGCCCTAGCATCATGTCTAACATGATGAGGAGTGCTCAGTTCCTATGTGTGAAACGACCACCCCTAACACCATAAACTTCATAAGCTTAGATAGAGAAAAAACATCAAAATCCAACTCACACTTGATCTCCCTGACAAATTTGGAGAAGGGCTATATTTTGGTTTTTGTGGTACCCAAAGGAGGCAGTCTGGGAATATCTAGGGATTCAAGTCATGGATTTTGTGGATTTGGCTGGCCGTGAGTCTGTGCCTATCCGTATGTGTCATCACGCCACTAACCAAGCTTGACGTTAGAAGCCAGCTTTGTTATATTACCGCGTAAGATCAACCTCAGGTGTTTCTCTGAAGTCTTTAGCCAGGGGTACACGGTATTCTTTAATAGTCCACACACCAGCCACACCATCATCTACACCTAACTTACATCATTCTCTTAAATTCATCCTGATTGTCAAACTGTCCACTCCCAAGTCTTTTTCACCTCTGTCCTGTTCTCTATGCCGCTTGTGAAGGCTTATCCTGAACATTGACCATGCCCACTTCCGTAAAAATTGTCCACATGCACTGTGGTGTTAGCTTGAATTGTCACCTTAATTCATGGGATAGTCAGAGCCTGAAAGGCATTCCTGTCAGTATGTCCTTGAGGATGTTTCTGGAGATGGGTATGGAAGATCCATTCACCCAAATGAACCTCTGCCCCAGGATCTCCTTCCATCCCTCCTTCCCTCTCTCCCCATCTTCCCCTTCCTCTCTATCTCCCTCTCAGAGACACCCTGTGGTCTTTGGACACCAGAGCTCCAGGTTCCAGGCTTTGGACTCCAGCCCTTACAACTGCAGCCCTCAAGTCCTCAGGCCTCTAGCTAGACTGAGTCACACTATCACTTCCCTTGGTCCTGAGTCCTTTGAACTTGGCCTGGGATTCTTGAGTTCTGCAGCTTACATGAGGCCTGTCTTGGGACTGCACATCCACTGTCATCACATAAACCAGTTCTGTCAAGTCCCATCTCTCAAGTGATACCTGTCACTTTGTGCTCCTGATTGATTCTGTCTCTAGAGAACTGTAATAAACCCTATAAGGGCCACTTACTCTATATTTTATGTGATACATAATGACACTACTTTGTGTTTATTTATTTATTCATTTTGGTTGGGGTATATGTGCGCCAGGGTACACATGTAGAGGCCTGAGGAAAATTGAGAGCTTGCAAGGGTCAGTTTTCCCCATCCCACCCCCGTGTGGGGTCCAGAGATAGAACTCAGACTGTAGGGTTTTATGGCTACCGGAACCATCTTTCCAGGCCTTAACATCACTCCTCCATGTCAGTCTTCCTACAGGATGCTTGGTAAAGAGCTGTGTTGAATGCAAGGTGCATTGAGAAGGACAGAGGAAGAGCCTGCCAATCAGCCCTGGCTCTGTCACACGCTTACTCTGCAGCCTCAGACACGTTGTTCAAATTCAAATTCTATGTGCCCAGCTTCTCTGAGTTTGGGGGAGTCACCTATATGACTGCTGTGAGACCAGGACAATGCTGTCAGGTGTGTCTCAGCAGCACAAAGGTGATCTTCTCATGCCTCCCAGGTGTGGAGAAACTTTTGACAGAAAAGGCACAGAGTCAGTCTATTCTCAGGGCCTCCCTGTTCCAGGCCCATCTTCATCTCTTACACTGAGAACCTTCTCTAAAATCATGAGGCATGTGAAGACTAATTGATTCTACCAATTCCAAAGACTTCTAGCCTTTCTAAATGGTCGTTTTTCCATTGAAAGCACTTTTAATTATCAGCTCAATAAATGAAGAGTAGGTGCTGCCGGCCAGGCATGCACTTTAATTCCATCAACAGGATGTAGTCTGGTAGGTCCAAAGATAAAGGAAATAAAAGCATACTTAGTGTTAGCGTGGTCCTGTGGCCTGCCTCTTCTCATGTACAAGCACCTCAATTCAAGAGGACCATGGCACCTGACTACAAACCACGTACTTGGGTTAGAAGCAGCTAGGGGCCTAGGGGCTCTTTGTTCAAGAGGAAAACTGCCCCGAGTTCCCAGGATCCCGTGCAGCTAGACTTAGCAACAGTCAAGGACTGGAGGCCGCTTTATACCTCACAAAGCCTTTTCATTATCTATGATCTTCATAAACGGGAGTGTTCTTCAGGAAGAAGTGACGCTTTCAGGGGAGAGAGGGAGCTGACATTGTCCAGTTACCTGCTCGGGGCAGTCCTCAGCAAGATGCCTTTCCTACTGAAAACACGCTCAACACGGCAAGGCTGGCTTGCTCCGAAAGGACCAGGGAAGCACAAGAGCAGCGCCCACCCTCAGGCCCTGGACCTTCCCTCCCACAGCTGCACACAGCCAGGCTCCAAGAAGCCCACAGGGAGGGCTCTGCTGCCGTCGCATTGGCGGGCTGTCTCTTCTCCATTTGGTCCATGAGGATGCTTTGAGGGGCATCTAGAAGTGCTCGTCTTTCTGATGTGAAGCACGGCTTTCCCATAAGCGAGCAACGTCCCTACCGCAGTCCGAGCCTAGGCAGGCCAAGTGGAGAGGAGACATGTAGCTTCACACCGCTCTCATATTTCAGAGTTGAAGAAAACCTCAAAGGTAACATAATTTTTTTATATACTTTCAGTAAGGAGAAACACCTCAGCAATAAAATCAGAATGAATGGCAGCCACTCTGCTGCGTTTCCATCACTGCCCGTGAAGGCAGGTTGGCCCAACCCAGGAACAGAGGGTGTGAGCTGTGCCTGGCTGCGGAGGCATGCAGGACCTGCCGCCTTGAGAGGTCAGCACGGCTGGGTGAGGTCAGGTGCTCCAAAGACTCAATCCCATTCCCAAAAACATTTTCTCTAGGTTACTAGAGTGGTTCCCTGCCAACTCCCACTGGTGTAACTTTGCTCAATGAGAGTCCTAAAAATTTCCCTAACTACAGCTCTACAATGCCATTATAGGATTATTAGTTTATGGACCATTACGTGCTCAACTCGTTTAAAATACAGCAACAGAGAAGATAGAGGATAAGCTTCGGAGTATAAACCGAGCCTCATTTTATTCCTCAAACAGGACCAAGTGGCCAAGAGGACTAGAGGGTGTCATTCATGACGGTAACACCCATGCATTGAACTGCACCCTGATTTTCCTCGCAAGCACAACTTCCCGGGCCAGTGGGGAGACGTGAGCTACTGTTTGCACCCTGCAAAGACTCCCTAAGGTGCCGTGTCTGACAAACACCAGGCAACACCCCCCTTTCCCAGCAGACATGAGGCACAAGACCAGTGCTTCACACTGCCCCAGTACACCAACTCTTTTGGAACAAACTCGCACGTCGAAATGCACTCAAAGTCTCAGGAGAGAGTTTTCTGCAGGCACGGAAAGGTACTTTCTAGAGCAGGCGTGAGCAGGAATCCCTGCTCACAGTTCACAGGGGAAACAGAAAGGAGAAAAGGCAAGCAGCCTGAACCTGAGGGCGGGCGGGCGGCACACGGGTCCGGAGGCACGCTTACGTTAGCACAGTGCAAGGCCAAAGCACAGAAGACAGCAAACATCTTGAAGTTGTTCTCGTCCGTCTTGGAGAAGGCACTGCCACTGATCTTGTTCACCATCTGCACCACGCCGATCACGCTGCCGCGGCTCACTATGGGCATGCACAGAATGTTCCGTGTGGTGTAGCCCGTGTACAGGTCCACTTCCCTGTGGGAGTGGAAGGAAGAGCTTCCGTCACCGGAGCGAAAGGCCAGTGGGCAGGAACAAAGAGTACATCCCGCCTTAAGTCTCAACACGGCTTTTATAGCCTGTGTGTGGGGTGGTGGGATGGCATTGAGGGTTCAAGACAGGGTAAAAGTGAGAGTGCTTTACTAAAACATTTTCACAACTATCCAAGCTTGTTTGATCTTGTTTACGATGGTTTTCTACTGGAGACTCCTGGCTCTCAGCGTCGGGATCACTAAGTAAACAGACAAGGTGGGTGATTCAGGGGAAAGTGTAGGAAGTCCGGTAAACAGTGTCTTCCTTTGAACTTGGTCATATTTATGAGACTGGTAACTTCCTAAACCATTTTAAATGGGAATAGTCACATTAAGATTTAGAGCAGGCGTCCATAACTAAGCCTATTCCCCAAGCAGCACAAGGCCACACTCATCTGTGGGTCACGTGATCAGGGTGCTAGGCTCATGAAGCAGAGCTCCTCACTCTCACATCCTTCAGAGCGGAGGCTTTACTGACTCCTGATCTGAGGAGACTGGTTTCCCCAGAATCAGCCACAGACCCAGCATGGGGGTACGCATGAGTCCTCAATGCCTGGCTTCCCTTGCTTACCCTTTATAAACCATCCAGGACTCACTGCTGAGCCACAGTCTCCACTGAAGGCCCGTTTCATGTATACATTCTCCACTTAATGGACAACGTCATTGGTTCATAGCTAGTTATCGGCTATTATTAGTAGGGCTGTTGGGAAAACTTGCATCTGGGCCTCTGGGTGCACAAATGATTTCATTTTTCCTGGAGTGTATATGGAGGAGGAGGGCAGACTGGCGGATCACTCACAGTCAAAACTGTACCACTCTTTTCCCAAGAGGCTGTCTCATCATCATCTACTTCCACCAGCAAAGCGGGAGGGTCCCTACTCACTCCACAATCCTTGCCCTTTCATCCTGATGCCAATCGGAAAGTCTCAGCCACTTGCCCTGGGGTACACTAGAAGATGCCTGCCAGAGCCGGGCCCTGGTTACTCTCCATGCGTCCTTTTCGGTGAAGCACCTGACATTCTCTGCCCTTTATGAGGAGGTCTCATACAATCTAGATATTAAGAGGATGGCATCACATGCTTGGCCAGTGTCCCCCTCAAGCTGATGGCTGCTTTTTTTATATTCCCAATAGTCTGACTCACCAATTTTACATAAAGATTTTTAAATGATGATAAATAATTTCGGTATTTAAGCAGTGTAAGTAAGGACAAGCAAGCTTGTTGGGGTGAAAAGTAATGCTATTAGTATTTTCAACTTGTTGGTAAAACATTACTAGAATACAGCTGAACTTCTATATGTGTCTTGGATATCTGACATCCATCATTAATTACAGGAAATACTTCCAGACAATTACACTGCTTTTAATGCAAGTCATGAGTCTGTATCAACTAAACAGTGTTGTCACGTATCCACCTTGTGACTTCTAACTTCAAAGGATTGAATAAAACATACACTTTGATTTCAAGTTGCCTAGAGTCTGAAATGAATAAAAAACATTCTCAAATGGCCCATCTTAACATCGCACTGTAACTACACCTCAGTTGTGTGGCTTACTCAGTTCCTGTTTTGTGTGCAGTGAAGTTTCCAGAGCTCTTAGGGAAATGATCTGCAGTCCTAAGAAACAACTCCAAGTAGGCATTCTCATACCCATTTAAAAGAGGATGAAACTGAGGCGCAGAGCCATGGAGCACTGGCCCCAGTTCTGTCTACAGTGGATAAATGGCAGGTCCTTAACTCGAAACCAGACATGACGATCTGAAGCCCAATTCCTTATCCCTGTGCAGCAGCTGTGAACACCCTGAGACAGAGCACAATATGATGACATCATGACACCACCACCAGAAGTGACTGCTCTGTCAGCTGACACTCTGTCGGGCCCCAGCAGGGAACGCTGACTTAGGAATGGCCTCAGATCATGTAAGTGTCTGGTTACTCGGACCACTGACAGCAGGCTGAGACAACAGACTCCTTCAAAGGGGCTTCAGCCTTGGAACCTCAAGGGAGAAATGACAAGGGCCAACCCCCCCCTCACCTGTTAAAACGTGGGTCTGCGTACGCATCCGGAATGTTCAGGACTTCTCCTGTTCTTGCTACTTGGCCAGCAATCCCCTTCTCAATCGAAAATCTGCAGAAACAACAAAAAAAGAGGGACGTGATAATTAGTGACGTCATAAAATAGTAATGAAGCACTTCATTAATGTCAAATGTTGAACTGAACCTTTAAGTACACATATTAATTTTACATTTATGTATCCTAAATAATCCTATAAAACATGTCAAAGCGAAGCAGAAAAACGCCCTAGAGTGATAGCTCAGAACCTTGTTTGAATACGTAATGCATAATAACTTGAGAATATAAAGGACTGCAAACTGAAATTGAACACTCTCCAGCTGGTCTCAAGCACTGGCCAACAATAATCTCCCCACACCTGCAAATCACCTCATCGATTACAGTGTGTGCGTTTTCTTAGTGGGTTACCCACACAGTGGGGTTCACTAACTTGCACACATACAACCCGGCCCCAGCTCCGTAGACCGTCCTGAACACAACACATGGAGTATCTGTCGTCTGTAACCCACATACCATGCAGAAACGGTACAAATTTGTCTCTAATTTGCTCATTTTAGAAACAATCAGGATCCAAACACGAGCTGGTTGTATCTATATGTTTGCAATAAAGCATCATGCTGATAACACTTCTCACATTTACTATATTATAATCATCCATGTGTCTATTTCAAAATTTGGTTAACTAAGAAATGCACCTACAACTCACACTAAGAGTTTTCAAAACCTCAAAGGGGTACTGACCCGACATGGAATTATAATATCCCCAAAGGACCAACACTACATGAGGTACACCTTCCCGGTCCCCTATGCTTTCAGGAGAACCAATTAGACACCACAAGTCATGCCAGAGTCTCTTCATGACATATACTTGTCTAACTCAGTCTGAGAGCCTTACGAAGGGGAACTTCCCTTCAGCTCTTGGTGGCTTCCCCCCCCCCCGCCCCCCGCAGTGAGCAGAAGCCCACAGTGCTGGAGGCCAGCATCAACCAGTCCCCACAAAGCCACAGCCTGGCTCCCTCCGCTCCTGCCTCCCGGGCTCGTACACAGGAGCCACTGTTGCCACAATCAGATCCGCACCCGCAGTGTGAGCAACCCCCAAACTCAAGGCAAGAGAAACCAGTTTAACTGGGTGACTGTCACCGGACTGGCAAGTCCGGAGCTAGAACCAAACCAAGAAATGAACAAAATGTGAGGCTCCACGCACTCTGACAGCGCCTTTCTTTACGTCAGCCTTAGGTGGCCACGTAACACAGGATCCATCACCCTAGAAACAGCTGGAAGTGCCAGGGGCAGAGCGGCGACCGCCTGTGGCTGGCCTCATTTTGTTCCGTGGTATTAGTTCCCTAACGTGATGACGCAGCCAAATGAAAAGCATTCATTGGTGAGGACACGGTGTTTCCCTAGAGGATTGTACAGGGATGTGTGGAAAGTTAAAGTGGACACAAAGCAAGAAGAAGAGGCGAATGTTGAAAGGGACTTGACTTGTGCACAATGCTCAACTACTCCTCCTGGTAGTGCTCCTTGCAGGCTTCCAGGCTGTGACGGAGGCTGAGCCACCAGCACTCCATCAACAAGTAAAGGCCATCTGTCCATTTAAACGACAGTAGTTGCCAGTTATGGTACCAAGAAGGCTTTCATTTCGAAATGCAGCAGGAGGGTAGCTGATTCCGCCAAACCGGCCAGGCCCAGGAGGTGTTCAAGCCATCAGTTTCCTCTCCTCTGGGCCATGGGTCCTCACAGGTTGGGAAGCAGCAGGGGCCAAGTTAGTTAAGTTCACCCTGCTCCTAGACCCAGGAGCCTGCCCTGCTGCCGGCTGCTGCCGCTGGAGCGACCTTTACCTACCTGGGAGCACTAGTAAGTTTTTCCAACATGATTTCCAAAAGGACCGCCTCCGGAAGACGGCATTTCCAGGAGTGACGCTAACGCTTCCTAGGCGCGGTTTCCCCGGCACTGCAATGCCATTCCCAGAAGCACTACCTTCAGGAGGCGGGTCCTGGTGGGAATGATATCACAGTATGACAAGTGCTGTCAGCACACCTGTGAGTCGGCACAGAGACGTGGGCGGCAGGAGACCTGCGCATCTGCGTCAGAGCCGGGACGGCGGCCACTCCGGCTGTACCTGATCTCCTTGGTCTTCTTGAAGACCGGCTTCCCCTCCTTCTCCTCCCCAATGTCAAACAGGTCCGAGTACAGCTCCTTATTCTTGTGGTCCACCTGGAAGAGCGCGCAGCGGTCGGCGTTCACTAGGTTTTTTGCATATATCTGAGACAAATGAGAAACCAGGGTAAACCGCTGGGAAACGGGAGCCGGGCACAGCGAACCTTAGCATGTTTAAGATTTACACATTTCGATTTCGGCTACTCTGGGCTGGGGAGGGAATCGGGACTGTGAGTAGACAGGTAGAGATGATGAAGGACAATGCAGGTTATGTGTAAGTTCGTCTGTGTGCTGATCCCCGCAGACAGGGCAGAAACAAACAGTTCATGGGTGCCCATGCTCATGCTGGTGTGGAAATACTAGAGCACAGTCCTTCAGCTGCTGGCCAAGCTCTCTGAGCTCTTTCCAGGAGCTTCTCGGGATGCTCCTGGTGTCTTGGGCTGTCTCGGTCAGCACTATGGCCAGCGCTGCCCACTCAGCCTGGTTGACATCTATGAACAGTGACAGGAAAGAATGTGAAATACTCCAGGCATGGAGGCCCATGCCTTTGATCCCAGCCTTCTGAAGGCAGAAGCAAACAGAGTTCTGATTTCTGGGGCAGCCAGGGCTACACAGTGAGACCCTGACTAAACAATGAATATGTAACGCAGGCACTGGCGGCGCCTGCACAAGGAGCCGGCATTCCGAGCTCAGGAGCACCAGAGTTTCTAGCCCCGCCTTGCCTCCCAGCTTTCTCTACCTGAGGCTCCAAAGGTGAGAAAGGACCTGTGGCGAGCAGGGTTCCAGAACACTGGCAGGCAGGGGTCTCAGCTGGAAAAGCATTGCACAGCACACACAGGCTGAGTCCAAAACAGACGCTGCTCTTGGGAGGGTTCCAAGACCGGCCAGTGTGTTTCCACTTGTTTGAATTATTGACACCTACAGCCCTCTCTCCACCTACAGAGCTAGCTCCCCGAACCACCAAGGCAGGTGTGCCACTGCGGTTATCCCAACTGAGAAGAAATACAGACCGGATTGCTCCTATCTCACTTACTTCCTCTGTTAGAATCTGTGTGTGTTTGTACGTGCAGAGGTATGTGGGCAACCACTGAGGCCAGAAGCACGTTGGATCCCCGTGGTTGTGGGCCACCAGGCATGGGTGCCGAGAACCACAGCAGGTGCTCCTAACTACTGAGCCACCTCACCAGCCCCTCGTTTTTATTTCTTAATTTTTGTTCTCATTTTTACATTTTGGTGATTGCAGTCATCTTCTAGCTTGTGCCCAAGTAGCCTTTTATAAACGTCTTCTCCCTCCTACCCGTCCTAATGTTTCCTATGACTTCTAATCCTCTTGCCTACGTACTTCCTCTCTCATTCATAGTCACCCCTCTCCTCCCTTTCCCAGCCCTTCACCCTCTCCTCCCTTTCCCAGCCCTTCACCCTCTCCTCCCTTTCCCAGCCCTTCACCCCCTCTCCTCCTTTTCCCAGCCCTTCCCCTCTCCTCCTTTCCCAGCCCTTCCCCTCTCCTCCCTTTCCCAGCCCTTCACCCCCTCTCCTCCTTTCCCAGCCCTTCACCCCCTCCTCCTTTCCCCAGCCCATTCTCTTTCTACTCTGTAACTGTGAATATCCTTCACTCTGAAACACCATCGACTACATTTCTGCCCACAGCCTCCCAACGCCTCTGCCTCCAAAGCACATGAGTCCTTCCTTCACTGTGTGTTGTCACCCAGTGCTCTGTCAAGGTAGGGTCACTTCCTGTCACTTCAGTCAGCCTCCCCCTAAACAGTCGTGGTTACATACACCCAAGTGAAGACAAGACACCAGGGAGACTCACGTAAAATAAACAGGAAACAGTGGGGAAGTAAGGCCTGGAGGAACAGCCATCCCAACTGATGGGTTGGGTGGGGAACGCATGAAGAAACACAAAAATGAGCAGACCGGCCACCACAACAGCTCCATAGGCCCCCAGCTCCCCAGTGTGCAGGCTGAGGACAATGTGTGTGTGTGTGGGGGGGGCTGAAACGCTAAGGAAATAGTTTAGGATCTGCCTCCCAAAATGATCAATGATCAGATGTAGGGCTCCAATAAGCAAGTGAATGAAGGGATGTGTGTGACTCAGGAGCTGGACAACATCGCTCACAAAGTGGGTAAAAGGTGAGCGATGTGGAGGAAAACTCGATGAGGAAGCAGCTTCTGGGAAAGAACCGAACACAGACATAAGAGTCCGCCACCAAAAAGAAAGAGTGGAAAGTGCTGTCAACAGAGGACCGACCGAGCAGGCACTGGGGGTGGGGGTGGGGGTGGGGGTGGGGTGGGGGGACACATCTAGAAAAACTCAGAGAAAAACACTGAGCACGACCAGTGCTGAAGAGGCTGAATTGAGAGTCAGGGGTGGAGGAAGGGCTAAGACAAGAACCTCAGGACACAGACCATGCAGCCACTGGAATCACCTGAGAACGTTTCTCAGAGCACCCACTTCCAGGAGAGGGACGCTGAGACTTAATTCAAGTAGGGGGCTCCCCAACGTGACTGTACAGAAAGCGCCTTGGAGACTAGGAAGTGAAGACAAGCGTTCCCCAAGTGCAGACCTTTAAACAAAGCTGTGCGAATCAGCTTTGTCCCCAAGATTTCAACAGAGGTGAAGAAAGGCGGAGGATCTTGTAGTGCTGCCGTAGCTCACCACAATTAACAGAGCGTGTTCGTCTAACACACACACAGTGTCACACCATGAGTGAAGACCAAGAACATAAGGGTTTAAAGAAAGTCACAGTCCAAACCGGAAACACCTACCATGATGTGTTCAAGTAGAGAGTCTATGGCAACTATGTTATCGAAATATGTCCTGGAAAAACAAACACACAAACACACATGAATCCGTGAGGAACCTACTTGATATCACGGTGCAAGTCAAACTCTGAACATACTTAATGGGTTCCACATTTAAATAAATGAATATACATGTCATTTGATTTGTGTCTGCTTACAGAAGCAATAAATATTATTTTTTAAAAACTCAATGAAGCCTGATCATTGCCTTAGTACAGACTAATCTCAGTGGAGTTATCCGGTAATGACATCATTGCTCAATTGAGAGGTGGGAGAGAGGCTGGAATGAAAACTAGGTAGGGCTGGATTCAGGTCACCATTCTCATGAATGGTCTCAAGTAAACACTCTTCAAGTTTATTATATCCACCAACACAATTATAATACACATGATCACTGAAAAAATAATGGAGAGGTTAGAAGTTAAAGGGTACTGAGAAATCAAAAGAATTGGCCTGAGAAGAAACCCCATAATGCAAGTGGTCAGGACCCAGTGACCTTTCATTACTTTATTTAATTAAAGTAAAACACACGTTCCATGGCAGGAGTGTGTTGTAGAGACCATGCGACATCTACTAGGATGTAACCTCCAAAGGTGAGTCAATGGCTGGCCATCACAGAGCATATCAAAAACTACTCACTGTGAGTTTTGCTGGCTCTGTGAGGATTTCAGCCACGCTCTGAAATAGACGTGGTGTGTGTGGTGTATGGTGATACCATGCTACAGTGATACAGGAAGCTCTCCTTAGCATGAGAGCCGCAAGACAGCGGACTTCACTGCACTGCGCGCTCATGCAGAGGAGAAGCTAGCATGGGATAAGTGTGCTTCCCAAGTGAGCAGAAGGCAGGAAGCAGGAAGTCATAAAGTGTCACGCGGGCATTTAGCTGACTCTGGAACACTTCCAATTACGCAAATGTGTTTACCACAGAGAAGCCCAGCGTCCCTTTCTGTGTGCTCTGAAGCTAACATCATCACGGTCCCCATCACGTCTGACAGGGCTTAACTGTTTGAAAATAGAGTTGACTGAGCAATCACTATAGAGTGACATGTCTCTAATTTCAGATTCCAGAGAGCAGCCGCAGAGTGAGCCGGCAGCTCCAGCCTGAGCATTCATCAGGGTTCCAGCTTGTTCTGGTAAGGAATTAGGAAGCACCAACAGGGACAGGAGAAGCCAGTGCCTGTCACAGTGCCCGCAGAAGCCAGGGACAAGTAGGTGCCTCCCCAATTTACTGAACTGGTAGGAGGACATGACCCAGGTGACCGTATCCTGAGCTTCAAGGCTTTGTTATTAATGAGGTGGGTTGTGTTGACAGAGGGTCCCCCCTGTAGCAGGCAAAGCCAACACAAACCTGGAATTTCATAGATATCTGTAACAGTTTCATTACCAACCCGGGGAGGAGATCTAGGTCAAGCTTCAGAGAAACGGGGTGTTTTTTTCAAAATCACAACTGAGACACTGCACATAGAAATGCAATGGCATTATTAATAGCATTGTGTAAAGTGACATTGTTAGAAAATGTCAGAGCACACATCTTGGAAAAGCTAAAGAGATCGGTGGCAGCATCTTCTACTTACAAAAACAAATGTCAGGTTAAGAGCCTCACACATACATCTGTCATTTCTAACATACAAGCTGACCATGGACAAAAGACTCCATTCTGTAACCCACAAAGTGACGAATGTCTCTTCCCAGAATGTCTGCATGCCCATGCAGCGGATGGAGACGTGCCACTGTAGAGAGCTGCACCTTTCACCACTATCCCCGAGGCCAGGAGAAGCAGCCCAGGTGAACACTTACTTTGAAACGTCCAGCAGGAAGTCGTTCAGTTCCGTCTGTTTGGCGAGACCTCTGCACACCTGCCACACGTACAAGAGTGATTAGTCACCCGGGAGCTCTGCCGGCTTAGGAACAAAACCCAGAGTGCTGTGAACACAGTCGCTGTCAGCCCTACTTCTTGAAAAGTGCCCCATGCTAAACACGGTTCCCTGTGTCTACGATCTCACGTGGTCGCTGTGCAGCTCCGCCACCTGAGACAGACACTCCCTAGCTGAGGCAGAGAGCTGAGAGAGGTTCACAGACACACTCTCCACCCTGAAGGAGTTACACACCTACGTCCACTTCCAGATCTGTCACCTGGCATGTACCCAACACACTTGGTGGCCCGAGGAGACCCTGCTACTCATGCCATCAACCTGCAATTACACTTTTCTTCTCACCATGCAAAAAAACCGACGCGTGTGTACTTGCACCAAGAGATTTGAGACGGTTTACAAATGAATTATAAGGGACTGCGTAGATGAATTGTTCAGATATAAAACATTACATCCCAAACCAAGACCTGAGCTCACGTGCTGGCCTCGACTCTGGCCCCCACTACTGCTGCATTGTCCCGGCGAGAGCGCCCAGACTTACCTGCACCTGGTGTATTGCTACGGAAGCCCAAGCAAGATTGGCCGTGGCAACCTACAAAACACACATTTGCGTATGTCAGACAAACTTGATCTCAGGGCGTCAGGTTCGCACAGCAAGCCATTTTACCTGTGGGGCCGTCTCACTGGTCTAAGTTATTTTGTTTTAACATGAAGTAGCATTTTTCAGGTTGACAAAAATGTGATTGAAATGCCGCTAATTGCCTCTTTAAGCTGGTGTGGGATCCCTAAGAGGGAAAGATACCATTGTGTATACTCTGTGCATTCAAAGACTGAAGCTTATATTCCAATCATGTTTTTTACTTTTTATTCCCATGTGTGTCGTGTGTGTGCAGATGTACACACATGCGTGAAGACCAGAGAAAAATCCCAGAAACGTCTACCTCCTTTGAGGCAAGATCTCACTGCCCTAGAGTGCAGCAATTAGGCTGTACTAGCAGGACGGAGTCCCAGGGACCCTCCTGCCTCTGCTCTCCAGGACTGACCACGGACACACACATTGCCACACCTGGCTTTTTAAAGGGGTGCCGGGGAACCCACTCAGATCCTCACACTGTCCACAGAGCCCCCCCAACACACCTCAGCCCATAGTCTAGTTCTGTTATTGTTTTCCACTTGGCAAGTCCTTCCTGGGCACTAGGTGCTAGCTCTCGGGGCTGGAGACAAAGGAGGAAGTAAGATCAGGCTGGACGGGACGCAAGTGTCCTGTGTAGTTGGAAGAACAGTGGTGGGTTCCATGGGACCACACAGGACAGAAGGAGGGACCACACAGCAGGACAGAAGGAGGGACACAGGTTCAGGACACACCTGGGGCAGGTGGCATGAGGTGACAGGGCCTGCACTCCATGCCACCGGAAGGCAAGGCTTCTTCATGGGGTGCGGGGAGACGAGGTATGGAAGGAGTGGGGGACAGCCCAGGAAACAAGGGGGAGGTCATTCAGGAAGCGGGCGGAACCAGACCACAGCAGTCCATCCACCATGGGAGAGGCCCACAGTGGTGATACCGTGTGTTCAGTGTGAATGAGTTGCTGTGGGATGGTCTGTATGGCAAATGTGTTGCTCTGATTGGTTAGTAAATAAAACACTGATTGGCCAGTAGCCAGGCAGGAAGTATCGGCGGGACAAAGAGAAGAGAACTGGGGGAAGTGGAAGGCTGAGGCAGAGAGACCTGCCAGCCACCACCATGACAAGCAGCATGTGAAGATGCTGGTAAGCCACGAGCCACGTGGCAAGGTATAGATTATAGAAATGGGTTAATTTAAGATACAAGAACAGTTAATGAGAAGCCTGAGCCATTAGGCCAAACAGTTTAAATAATATAAGCGTCTGTGTGTTTATTTTATAAGTGGGCTGTCGGACTGCCGGGGCTTGGCGGGAGCTGGAGAGTCAACTCCAACTAGAGCGTGGAGCGTGCACACAGCTGGGGAAGAGGCGCTTTTAGAAAGACACAAGACAACCAGGATGCCATCCTGCACTTGGCTTCATATGCACCAAAGCACATTTTTTTGTTAATGTATTTTTATATAGGAAAAAAAAAAGTGTATTTCTAATTTAGCCAGTCTCCTCTAATAACAGCTACTCAAGAAAACAGGTTTTTAAGAACACACTACTCTTCACAGCCAAATATGGTCAGGCAAATAGTGACTTCACTATTCATTCATGTATTCTCTTAACGCTGGTGGGTGCCAACAAGGGCAGGATGCCAAAAGGCATGGGTTTTTTTGTAACATTTTTAAAAATGCATTTTTAAAAGACATTTTTTTAAATACTTATTTTAACTCATATGTACGGGGGTTTTGTCCACGTATCACATGTGTGCCTGCCAGAAGAGGGTGGGTGTCAGAGCCCCTGGCACCGGAGTTACAGATGGCTGTGAGCTATCGTGTGGGTGGTGGGAATTGAACTTGGGTCCTCTGCAAGAACAACAAGTGCTCTTAAGCCCTGGGCCATCTCTCCAGCCCCCAGCGAGCAGCGTTTGAGCCTCACCTCCTGATGACTGAGACAGAAGGCTTCTTTGCCCCAGTGCCTGTACAGCTCAAGAATGCCAATCAAGTCTCCAATGGCAGTGACGATGGGCAAGCAGAGAACAGACTGGATTCGAGTTCCTGATTCCAGGCCAGTGCCTCTCGGAAATCGCTCATCCTGAAAAAAATCAAACAAGGGAAGACTCGAACTTCGGCATCTTAGCTTTGTGCGTACACACCTTACGAGTGAACAACGGATGTCGGTTCCGCGTGATAGTAAGAAAGGTTACCTGCCAGTCTGGCACCCGTTCCCTCGCCTTCTCTGCCAGAACCACCCCAGGCTTCGCAGGTGTACGCAGCACAGGCGGCAAACACCGTGAAGAGAGGTGTACACAAACCCGCCTTCTCTTCTGTTTTTAAGGTCATGCTAACTACTGCAGCTGAGTTGAACTTCAGGAGCCCAAATTACGCATTCAAGCCATCCTTACCAATTATCATTACAATGAAAATGGACTCGACTTTAATCATTTTCTGTCTTAGCTAAAATTTCTGCAAGCCAGGACAATGAAATGGGAAGGATTACTATCAAGCTGGCAATCCTATGCACTCAGTTTCTACCATCTGCCGGAAGCTAACAGGACACAGGAAACCCTCCCTGAATCAAGAGCAACACGAAAATGTTCATGTGGCTTTTAGCCTTGGAAAGCCTGCATTCGGGACGGAACATTTCCAAATGGGAATCCACAGAGCACCTACTCTTTGCTTCTTTTCCCCACCCCACTTTAGACCCTCTCTTTCTTTTCAATTCAATAAAGCAACAGTTAATGTGTTCTAGATTAAATCATGGGCAGAAATAAAAAATTGGAAGCCAGGTTCCACGTCTGCAGTTCAGCAGTTTCACAGAACAAACTCCCCCCGCCTGTGTTACTGCTTGTATCTGTCACCTGTGGAGCCCACGCCCCCTGCGGTGACAGTCATCAGACATCGTGCCTGCACACACTTGAGAGACTGCACCAAGGATCTGTCTGTCATCTCTCTTGGCTGCCGCATCTTCGCTGGCACCCTCTGGCACCGAGGAGGCTCAGGTTGGGCTCAGGCCTGCTCACGTGATTGCTGTTCTGGCTAATGGGAAGGCAGGGAATGAGGTGTCAGCCGTGGTTTTAAGGCTCTCATTCCTCCTCTGACCAGTCATCCTCAGACTCCGCCATGCTGGCCTCACAGGTGGGGAGTGAGAGACGCCGCCGGCAAAGCCGAGGTTGGTGGCTGGAGAGCAGCCACAGCTAACTCATGGCCAGCTGACTTCTGGCTTATTACCCAGAAGCCTACAGGCCCACCTCAACAGAATGGCCATCCTTAGACTCCTGAGAACCGGCCTCTGGCCACTGCAGGACACCCTTCAGATGGGGCAATCAGTCCCGCAGCAGTGTTAATGGGAATTACCAAGCAGGCACTGTCCATTTCGCGTGGGTATAGACTTCTTTTTCTGTTTACCCGTGGTGGCATGTGTTGAAATAAGGGCTCTGTCTGACAGGGAGCACAACAGGTGTAATTTTCTAAATATAATAAGTTCAACTACAAGCAAATTCATTATTGATCTGTATCTTCTTTTAATGCTTTTATAGTTAATTTTAAGACAAATTAAATGATAAGATCAAAATTACATATCATCTTTCTTAATTAAATCATCAGACCATGAGGGTCAAAGCGCCCTACCCCAAGGATGTCCTCCACAAGCAGCGTTTTCCTAGACTTGGCCACATAAGCAGAGATGGTGGTGCCCTGGGTGATGGGTCCTGCAGGGATAAGCCGGGGTTGACCTTCCTTTATTCCGGGAGGTGTGAACACACACAGACTCTAGGAAGAAGAAAAGTCAACATTTTAGATGATCTCCTCTGCCTTTGTCCAATATCCACAAGACTCAAGAGCAATGGTAGAACATTACCTAATTAGGCCCAGTAAGTCTGGGAGCCAATCACAGGAAAAAACACGGGATGATGCAAGACTTCACGGGGAGCAGACAGGGAGCCTAAAGTAAAGTCTCCTGTTCCTGCTTCACACAGAATGCACGTTTTAAATCAGAATTCACAAACATACAGGCACAGAAACTCTCAAGCTAGCCTCCTCTTTGGAATGAGACATGGTAGGAAAAACAGATGGCATCTTGCAACTGGACCCTAGACTCTGTCATGCCAACCAACCAATGCCAAGCCCAGGGCTGAGTGCAATGTCTCAGACCACTGCTTTAAGACCCTGGCACTCAAACTGCTTGAGCTGGAACTGCACATTTTGGGGTACCATGAATTGAGAAGGCGCCTTCCACACTGCAAAGCCATGGCTAGTCTTAGTGATTGCCTCTCATTGAGTGACTCTGGGCAAAGATTTCTGATTTTTTTTTTAATCCACTCCCAAAAATATTAGGATCAATCATTTTGACAAAATCTAGCCATATTTTAAATTACTTTCCACTTAATAAAATGTTGAAATTATTTTCTAATTAGCAAAGTTGTATCATGATTATCCACCCATTCTGAACTATTCAGGAGGTTCTGGGAAATTCTATTTATGCCTTACTTTCACCTTATAGATAAAGCAGCCCATGCCAGCTGACCCATGTAACCTACTGAGTTGTGGTCAGCCCCGCACTCACGGAGGCAGCACTAACCCGAGACCGAGATCCATTTTTAACTTGGCCGCTGATGCCTGCTTTCCATGCTCTCCACTTTCCACTATCAGAGAACCCTCCTGGAGAGGGAATCCTTCAAGCTTAAGCTTCTTGGTTAAGCCAAAAGGGAAGGAGGGAAGAAAAGAAGAGAGGGGGGAGGGAGGGAGGGAGGGAGGGAGGGAGGGAAGAGAGGGGAGGGAGGGGAGGGGAGAGATGGAGAGGGAGGGCCAGAGCTGAGCTTCCTCAACTCCGGCAGCTTTAGAATAAAGCCCGAAGCTTCATTCAAATCTGGTGTTCCCAAGCCCAGAGAAACAGGCCCGAGCTCCAGAGGTATCTGTTACTGAATGAAGTGCATGTGGAAGAGAAATTCCATAGTTCTGTTGAAAGGGTGAATCCCACATGCCTAAGTACAAGAGCACACTTAGAGATGAAAACAGATTAGATGATAAATGACGGCGCACCCTATTTATTTATTTTTTTTAAAGGGCTAGAAATCAGTGCTACTGACTTTAAAAACTGCTAGCATGTGTTAATTATATGCAGCCCTGGATCTTCCCAGGGCTGGTATTCACCCCACTTTAACCAGCTCTGAGTCCCTGTTCACCACAAAGAAGCTTCTCTGGCCAAAGAAGAAGGGAACCCTGACTGTGGGCCTAAAGGTCAACCTGTAGAAGGCTGTTGGCTGGGTACCTCAAGTCCAGGGAGCAAAGCGGCGGCGGCGGCAGCTTCCTCACCATGGCCAGAGACCCCGCCTGGGGAGGGTCAGTCAGCAGGGAGGAAGCTTCCAGCTCAGGGCCTGCTTGATTCATCTGTCACCGCATGTACTGCTGGTGGGGAACCAGTAACAGTGGCAACCAACTGTCTTGTTTGGGGAGACTTAGGGTCCTCCCTGGCCAAGAATCCCCAGGGATGTAGCTCACCCCTGAGGTGGCACTGTGTTTAAACTTAGGATAATTCTACTGTATGCTGGGACACATGGCCTTGTGGGAGGGAGGCCACCATCGGCTCTGGAGGTCATTGATGTGCCAGTTGTCACGCTCTCTTCAGACAGAAGAGCAGAGAATGATGGAGGAAGAGATGATTCCAAGAGAAAAACAATTAAGAACACAGTATATTTAGCAGGAAGATAAAACAGAATAGACAGCAGCTAGGTCAGGAGCCAGGTTCCAAGCACCTGTCCTTTCCGCATCCACGACAGCAGCAGGGGAGGAACTTGGGTGTAACTTCATGATGAGACAAAGAAAGGGCTGTGGACCACAGAAAGGATGGTCTAGAGCAAGCTCTGGAAGGAAGCTTTGCATTTTCTACTTTGTTTCAGGCTGTAGTCGTTAGCTCAGGAGATATACAATGTACGGTTTTTGAGAGGCTTGGCAATTAGCTACCGAACCACACACTTAATTATGCCTTGGAGGCAAAGTCCTGAACTCACAGACCTCACATGTTCCCACACTCCCAGGCAATCCCATGCAGAGAGTGGGCGAACAGTATAAAAGATTCAGGTAAGCTGTGTCCACAGAAAACCATCCCTAGATGAGGCTTGCTGCAAAGAGAAGGGTACAGAATGCTTGTTTATCTGCTAGAATTTGAAAATTCCTTGGGGGTAATTATGAAAGACTAATCCTTTACAGTGGGGGTTATGCTGGCTTTGCTAACAAGTTTGTGATTTCATAAACTCACAAGACAGAAATGTTCCTAATAAAAACCACTGTTAAAATCATGATAATATTGCAATATGTGAAAGCCCAGGGCTCAGGACAGAAGCCTAGAAGCCGTCCCTATGGCTGACTTCTCTCCTCTGTATGAGGGGCCCCTGTTCTTTCTTCTCTTCTTTTTTTTTTTGTTTTTTTTTTGTTTGTTTGTTTGTTTTGTTTTTCAAGACAGGGTTTCTCTGTGTAGCTTTGCGCCTTTCCTGGAACTCACTCTGTAGCCCAGGCTGGCCTCAAACTCACAGAGATTCACCTGCCTCTGCCTCCCGAGTGCTGGGATTAAAGGTGTGTGCCACCACCTTCTTCTTAATTTGTCTTTCATTTCTTTATTTATCCTGCGTGTGACTGTTGAGGCATGTACCATAGTTGCATATGGAGGACACTGGACAACTCACGGGAGAGAGTTTTCCCTTCCACCTGTATGTGGGTCTTGGACATTGAACTCAGGACTTGAGGCTTGCTGCAAAGGTTCTTACCCTCTGAGCCACCTCACCGGCTCTCCATCCTTCTTTTTAACTCAACACATACCACCTACTCAAAAGTTTCTGATTACGGGTCAATCATGGATGGAATAACCTGTTTTGGGACAGTACAATCTTCATGATTTTTAAAAAGTGAATGAAAGAATAGGGAGATGCTACTACAAACAAAAAAAAAATGTCAATAAAGAACTTCCACAGGCTGGGCAGTGGTAGGAAATGCCTTTAATCCCAGCTCTCAGGGAGGCAGAGGCAGGCAGATCTCTGTGAGACCAGCCTGGTCTACTACACAATGAGTTCCAGGACAGCCAGGAACACAGAGAAATCCTCTCTTGGGGGGGTAGTGGGGGATAAAGATAGTAAAATACTATGTTCAGCTTTTTCATAGATGAATACCATCAGACAATATTTCACATACTATTAATACTCCTTACATATATTAATATCGAATTTTCTGTAATATCTAGTGTTGAACTCTCCAAAATTAATCCCTACACTAAATTAATCCCTACACTAATTTTGTACAAACAACTTTTATTAGCACAAGAATGCTTCAGAGGTTAGAAGTCTAAACACAAGGAAAGGCCCAACTCTAAGCCTCCACCTCCTCCTCCATGTTTTCCAGGGAGACTGGACTCACTGCCACCAGCATGGAGATATGCCTGGGAGTAAGAGGGGTGAGCAGAGAGCTAGCTCCTCAGTGAGAACACCACCCTGAACCTGCCAAAATTTGTGAGATAAAAGCAGATATAGATATAAATATAGATAAGTAATCTAAGTTGGACAAGATTGGTACCAATAAGCTGGGTTCAATGAAGGGAGAAAAACATGAAAATTATAAATATATATCAAATTTGGAGAAATAAATTTAGTGGAAATGTACAAGGGAGTAGACAAATATAGTTAATGTAATAATTATAAACTAATGCAATTTAGAAAAGCATAAGACCATTTAAATGAGGTAGGGAAATCTGCCCTGTTGATATCAACCACCCAGATTCTGTTTCAGTGGCAAACGCACACTCCAGACATTTTCTGGAACACATAATTCAAAGATCACTTCATTCATAAAATTTCATCTTAATGTTGACATTTTTGGTTTTACTCTCAAACAGCTCAACTTTAAAGATAATTTTTAATTAAATAGGAGGGGGTGAAAATTTAAAAAAAACACCAAGGGACAAAAACCCAGGTCTTTGTGCTATTGTCCACTAGATGGCAGTGCTAGGAAGCAAATTCAGACAGAGGTGGTCTACTGGAAATAAGGTGCCAGGTTCCTGGGAATTTCGAACAGGGAAGGCAAGGCACTTTTTAATGCTGGTTAGAATTTTTTCTACAGTTGAATGAAAAACATCCCAATGAGAGTAAACTATCAGTGCTAAATATAAAAACTCCAACACTTTCAGGTTGCAGCTTTATGTACTAACATAAACACTGGGCTTCCCTGCTTTTCCATTCCGCTCCGATTTGTACCCAACAAACAACATTCTATGAGTTGAATCCTTCACCGTTTTAGAATAAAATTTAACAATGAGTAAATAAATAAATAAATAACTCAAGGCAAAGTCTATCTCTTTACCAGAGGCTACCCCCCTGGGTGGAAGCGCCTGGGCTGCTCTTTGTACCAAGGTCACAGCTTAGGAACCTGAGTCAGGGCTCTAAGTACGTGTTCTCTCAAGAGGGGAATGATCTTCGCAGGCTTCACAAGGCAACACATTCCTCTGGGACTTAGCAAATGCTGCTGCTCCTCACGTTGCTTCTGGGGTCAACAACTGGAAATGCTACCGTCTCTCTGTTAAGGGACTGCTCCGCTTATAAACTGCAATGTATAAAACACCAAGGGCGTAAACTCGAATGCAGCCTCACCATAGCTGCAGACTCTGCCTTCTGAAGAAGAAGTCTTTTCCCAAGCCGGTCATTTCCTCCTTGAGTGACGCTCTGCTGGGCTGTGGCACCAGGTCTCTGTTCTTTGCCGAAGAATAAAACGGTTCTGTTTTGCTTTTTATA